CAGCTAAACATGTAAAAAAGACTTTCCTGATGCTGATGGAAATCTCTCTGGTGTTTATTTTATCATTTACAGTATACTACATATCACATGCCCTTGTGGTATTGTGGGGGTATTATGGGTTACGGAAATAACTATGAAGATCACAGCGATGAGAATGAAGTAAACAATACAGATAAATTGATATTATGAATCTGATAAAAACAGAGAATCTAAGCTATTCGCGTCTCGATCTTAAAAGCAGTTGGCCAGCTTCAAAATATAGTGCGTAACAAGAGATTTTGGATGGCAGGCCAGACACAAGTCTAGCGGCTTGTAATTGTTCTCTTTCTAGGGAGTTTACATCCTCTAAACTCGCTCTCTGTTCACCTGGTGAATTTCATTGTAAAATCAAAGGTTCCATGTGAAAATGCCTCGTGGATAACACGAGAATATTAATTTGATTCATTGATGTACAGCAAACGAATCTCGAGGTCGCATAACTGTATTGTGCATTGGCTTAGAAGTAGGACGTCTCCCTTTTTATTCTTCAAATAAGCGTACCGGTCTGTGATTGGTTTTATTTCTTCCACTGAATCCCATGCTAGACCAATCAAATAACTTCGCTTGTGCCTTCAATATTTTGCCAGGAAATATTCCAGGACTGCAGGTAGTGAAAGTAATTGAAACTCCTGGAGTACATTGTATCGATGATGAGGCATTTAAAACTTCGTCAGAAGAACCATCCCAGACATAGGAGGCATATTCAAGAATTGTTCTAATAGAAGACGTGTATACAGTATTTTTGTGTTTGTTTTGTTTTAAAGCATTAATTTTACATTGAATGCTTTGATAACATGATGAACATGGTCAAGCAAATTAAATTTGCTACCATGAAAGACAGTGAGATAGCAATGAAAGTCAGTGGAAGTAAGTGGTTCATTTTACAGGTAAGATTTTATTTGATATCAAAAGGTCAGAAAGAGAAGAGAACAACATTCGTCATTGCAGAATTGAACTGCAATAGCCTCTGACCAGATCAAATTTATGAACGATGAATATCATGGTTCAAGTTTTGATCTATAACATGCAAGTCTGACGAAGGATCTTGAATAGAAGAGTTGTCGGCAAAGAATTTATTAACTGTTTACATAGGTTTGAAAAGATAAAAAATATGAAATAGAATAATAAAAGGGATCTTAGACTGATCCTTATGGTACACAAGCAGACAAATATTAAAAAAAAAAAAAAAAATCATAGTTGACGGTTGTCTTCGAATGAAGAGTCTCGACTAAGATACAATTTCACGAATGTAACTACCATTGATATTCTTACCTGCCTGGAGAAGGATGACAGTGTGATTACCATTGATATTCTTACCTGGCTGGAGAAGGATGACAGTGTGATTACCATTGATATTCTTACCTGCCTGGAGAAGGATGACAGTGTGATTACCATTGATAGTCTCCCCTGGCTGGAGAAGGATGACAGTGTGATTACCATTGATAATCTCCACTGGCTGGAGAAGGATGACAGTGTGATTACCATTGATAGTCTCCCCTGGCTGGAGAAGGATGACAGTGTGATTACCATTGATAATCTCCACTGGCTGGAGAAGGATGACAGTGTGATTACCATTGATAGTCTCCCCTGGCTGGAGAAGGGTAGCAGTAAACAGTTAATTTGCATTTTTCCTGAAATTATTTGTCATGTTTGAGATATACAGGTATAGCAGATTGGTTATGGAAAATACATCATTACATGTATATATATTTATAAACTATATAACAATTACATTAACAGTAGAGAGATGAAATTTGTGTAAAAAAAAAATTTCCTCTGATTTCTGACATTTGATTGTCATGGTTACCTGGCTGAAAAAATGCTAAAAATGCAAAAATACTGTGATTCCAACCCAACACTACAACTTTCTAGGAGAAATTTAATTCTAAACACCTATCTTACAATCAACAACACTGTCATGGTAACAAAGTACTTACATTTCAGCAAATTCCAACTCGGAAATTCTTCATAACATGACCACATGTGAACACTATGAAAATTTCACTTCCTGTAAAGCTAGTTTTTGGTGCGTAGGCACAGATTCGAGACTGCCCAAATAGTAATCTCCAACACAAAGCTAAAATATTATCCTGAAAAAAATGAAACCCCACATTGTCTACTTTAACATGACAGGACCAATTTTAGCAAGGATTTTTTTTTTCATTTTTAATTAAAACCTTTATAATGGGGTAATCTAATGAGCAAAAAAAATCACCCATGGCCACACCGAGAAACTGTGTACTGCTACCAAGGATGACAGTGTGATTATCATTGATAGTCTCCCCTGGCTGGAGAAGGATGACAGTGTGATTGCCATTTATAGTCTCCAATGACTGGAGAAGGATGACAGTGTGATTACCATTCATAGTCTCCAATGACTGGAGAAGGATGACAGTGTGATTACCATTGATATTCTTACCTGCCTGGAGAAGGATGACAGTGTGATTACCATTGATATTCTCCCCTGGCTGGAGAAGGATGACAGTGTGATTACCATTGATAGTCTCCCCTGGCTGGAGAAGGATGACAGTGTGATTACCATTGATATTCTTACCTGGCTGGAGAAGGATGACAGTGTGATTACCATTGATAGTCTCCCCTGGCTGGAGAAGGATGACAGTGTGATTACCATTGATATTCTTACCTGGCTGGAGAAGGATGACAGTGTGATTACCATTGATAATCTCCCCTGGCTGGAGAAGGATGACAGTGTGATTACCATTGATAGTCTCCCCTGGCTGGAGAAGGATGACAGTGTGATTACCATTGATAGTCTCCCCTGGCTGGAGAAGGATGACAGTGTGATTACCATTGATAGTCTCCCCTGGCTGGAGAAGGATGACAGTGTGATTACCATTGATAGTCTCCCCTGGCTGGAGAAGGATGACAGTGTGATTACCATTGATTGTCTCCCCTGGATGAAGAAGGATGACAGTCTGATTATGATTGATTGTCTCCCCTGGAGGAAGAAGGATGACAGTGTGATTACCATTGATTGTCTCCCCTGGATGAAGAAGGATGACAGTGTGATTACCATTGATTGTCTCCCCTGGATGAAGAAGGATGACAGTGTGATTACCATTGATAGTCTCCCCTGGCTGGAGAAGGATGACAGAGTGATTGTCATTGATAGTCTCCCGTGGCTGTAGAAGGATGACAAAAGCATACAGAAACAATGGCACCGGGGGCATGCTTAATGTAATCAACAGCAGAATAGGGACTCTCAATGTCTCTTAGTAAAGCAATTCAGGTGAAGATATTTGAGATAACTAGTATAGCTGTGTTTATATACCAGTTTTCTACAAAAGCACATCTATAATCATTTCAAATTATGAGGAACTGAGACATTGATGATTTGGAATTCATTGAACTAAGTTTTGTAACAATATTTTTTCAGCTTTTGAAGTTAAAAACATTTATGTTATATATACAGCTGAGAGTGTCACTCTTAATTTGTTTACCACTCTCAGATAAAAATAAAAGATTTTTACAAGCTGTGAAATTTTCCTCTTGACTCATGTAATTTGAATGATAGGTCTACATAAAATGAAATGAGAATCACTTCTTACTGGCCGACAGTGATCGACTCTTTTAACAAATGTTACGTCCATTATTATAACCTCCATTGGGCACTGTTGACAATATACATGTGTCTTTGTTACTATACTTTTACATGTGTTATATAGTAGAGAGATTAACAACAACAACAGCATGCTGTTCAACTTAGCTTTCAGTACTTTGATAAACCGCCAGGAAGTATAAGCTAAAGTACACGATTGTGACTTTCTATTAATATATTTCTTCGATCACTTGAATGGTTGTGAGTCACTATTCTTTTTAAGCGTTTAACTGATAGTGATTTTTAAACCGAAAGGACCCCCTACAATTCCAAGAAGGGTCAAGTACGTAGCTATTGTCTAGGCCTAACGTCAGGAAGTTAGGGAAGTTTTCACAAAATGATATCCCATGATTTTAACATTTCATGAATAACCACACGGTGACTGAACATGACGTTTGAGCTGTCATGATAATAAGATGAACGTACAACAAAAACGTCTTAATGACAGTTAAGAAGGGTCAGATGGAGAGAAAGTGAAAGTACGATTTTTTGGGGAAATGTACACTGTGATGAAATAGCTCTTTATTTCCGAAATAATGGGTCGAAGTAAGTATGTTTACTTATCATGTATTGTTGATTTGTCAGGTGAGCTGGTTTCGCTTCTAAAGAGTGTACTTACTCTTATCAACCTTACATTTTGGTAAACATTTCAAGTACATTTTGTAAGTACAATGAAGGCTGCTATCGTGGTATATATAATGTATATGTAAGTACATAATGTAAGCTGTACAAATATATGTATATATTCATTGCATATTTATTTGTTTTTTTAATTAGTTGAAGTTAGCCTGGCAGCAACATGTGTGTTTATATTGTACAATTAAGATAGTGATCGATACAACCTGACTAATTTCTTCCCACTTCATACTAAAATGACAGGGACTAGGAACATTGTCTCTGAGTCATAATCAATAGATTTCTGTCACCAACATTCTGAGCAAGAAGAAGGAAATAAATTAAAGTGAGAAATTCTGATATTTTCCGCTTTTAGATATATTATGCACTTTTTTCAGGCTGCGTACATGTGAATCTGACTTGAAATACAGTTTAAAGGATATTACTTAAACCTGATATAAACAAAAGCATAGGTTGAAGAAGTTGAACATTTAATCTTTGGTCACTATTAAATATTATTCAGCAAGTGATAATATTGCTGTTATTCTCATATGCATAATGCACTCAGCACCTCATTCTAATTCTCAAGCCTATTTATTAAAACTAATGCAAGTAATGATTTTAGATACATTGACTTTGTAAGTCATTGGATGTAATGTTAATTCACACATGCCTATATTGCCTTGTGTCCTGTTTTTTCACAGATTAAGTCGGGAGACCTTCCACGATGACCACACTTACAGAGTTATTGACAGATATAGCCCTGGGTACTATAGATAGACATAGTGTCCTTGTCATCAAGGTAAACTTTACCTGCATTGTAAAATAACTTGATACATTTTTACCATGAAATAGCCTAGCTTTCTCCAATATCTTTACTTTATGTGACTTTTAATGAAGCCATAACAAGCAGAATTTTGTTCTTTGTTATATTGTATGTTGATAGGATATACACTTCGATACACTTAATAGCTGAGGGAATTTGGAAAATGACAATTATTTAAATTTCACTTAGCTGTAAATATCAATGTTGTGGACAGTTTTGGATCAGAACATTTTATTTAATCTCATTTATTGATGACATTGTAATTTGATATATAAAATAATGTGGAATAACTGATGTATTTTTACTTGTAGAATTGTTACATAACAGTAGATTATATGTGTTAAAAGTATCAGTGACTTGAGGATTTTATATATTAACAGAATTTGAGCTCTTCTGTGAGTGTTGAAACTCTCGTGAACTGGGTTAATGTGGTAACAGATGAAGATGTCAAAGATGATGTTTGTCATTACCACCACCCACTGACCACTGTGTCCATAGTTGTCCTTGATACTAGTGTACGAGGTAAGAGCCCCCAGTGTCATTACCACCACCCACTGACCACCGTGTCCCTAGTTGTCCCTGATACTGTTGTACAAGGTAAGGCCCCCCAGTGTCACTACCACCACTCACTGACCACCGTGTCCCTAAAAAAGCTGACCCTGATACTGTTGTACAAGGTAAGAGCCCCCACTGTCATTACCCACTAACATTTATGTCCTTAGCTGTCCTCAATAAAAAGTTGATATTTTGAACGAACACTCCCCTTAATCTGATGCTATGTTTGAATTTTTAAAAAAAAATCATTTTGGCATCTCAAATCATACAAGATCGTCTATTTATAGTATTTTTCAATCAAATGATATGAAAATGACTATATTTTAATTTCAAAAGCAACAGTAGTAAAAGAAGTTGTTTTTATTACCTGTGTTTCAGATAAAATTGATCACATTCAGAAGAAGGCACTGATAAAGAAACTTGAAAAGGGAAAAAGAGTCCTAGATGTTTCCCCAATAGAGCAACCAGCAGGTTTGCTGCTTCTTGATAGTCAAGGTCACAAACACTCGGAGGACTCTCTGAATCTTTACTTTGAGAGTCCCAGAAGTGGTGGCAAAGAGGACAGTGTTCAGTCAGTGCACCACAAGGATTCGGGAATAACGGTTGTAACATTCTTCCCAGGATCCTTGCCGACAGGTAAATAATATTCATTGGTAGTTGGATTGTACAGTGGTAACACACTTGCTTTTTACTAAGCCGTCTGGGGTTTGATACCCGCATCAGATGTGAAAAGGCAAGAGTTCACCTGCCAGACCATGTGGGTTTATAAGTACATCTTCTATTCTCATTGTTCTGAAATAAATAGTTGATTTTTAGCAGTAAGTTTCCTAGTTGCTCCTCATCACTCAGTCTCTGTCATGCTGTAGGTTTCCACCCAACTACTTACACTGTATCTACATGAAACTTTTATACAGGAGTATTTCGGCCATTGGACAAATCTTTTCATCAGAATGACAGGATTGTACATGTATATAGGAAATTGTTTTGTTTTGGCCATGTTAATTTATTGTAAACCTCAGTAAAACCCTTTGTATTAAGATACACGGGGAGGGGGGGGGATGTCATAAAGTCAGTACTCTGACTCAAAATGGGAAGACTTATTCATTTGATTTAAAAAACGATATACTTATAGGAGCCGGATAAATGAATAGGATTGAACAACATAGGCCTATATCAGAGGATGGATGAAACAATATATTTGTTTACATTTCTATAATACTCTGACTCAAAATGGGAAGACTTAATTTAAAAAACGATATACTTATAGGAGCCGGATAAATGAATAGGATTGAACAACATAGGCCTATATCAGAGGATGGATGAAACAATATATTTGTTTACATTTCTGTAGAATTTAGACAAATATATAATAAAATATTTGTGTTTCTACAAATAAAATTGACCATTACTGGATGGTTTCAAGAATCAAATTCAACATAGAGAAAAAATAGATGTGTCAAAAGATCTTCATTTTTATTTCTGATCAGAATTAATTTGGACTTTCACAAACGATTTTATAATCTTTAAATTTCAGCTGTTGAAAATATTCTGAGGAAAGGCCGTGAATCTGGTCACCTACTCAACGACAAGCCTCTCACGGTCGTACCCTACTATCCTGGTTTCCACAACTGTATAATAGACCAGCTGGCAAAAACAAAGACTTCTAATACAGAGCCCATAAGTGCTAAACATTCTGTTGAATTGGAGAGACATGGTTCAAATCATCATGACAGCATCCATGATGAGCCTCAAAAACTGGATTTTTATGTAGAAGAAGAATATGAAGAAGACAAATCTTCTATAGAGGATAACAATAATGTAGAAGTTATGACTGATGGTGATTGTGATGCAGGTTCAGCCAGTAGTGGGAAGGGTCAAGGTGAAAGAGAATTAGAAAAAAACATTGAATTATTGAAGCAAAATTTGTTGAAGAATGAGAAAATTCAAGATCAAATATGTCCTTGGGAAGATGATGATAGCAACTCATTAAAACCAAGTTATGAGACAAAACAAACCAATAAAAAATCAGGAAACTTGACATTAATCAGTGGAGATTTACCTTTTTCAGATCACACCAGGAGGAAGACAAAACAAAAAGCTTTAGTAATTCAAAAGACTAATCCTAAAGTATCTCATCAAACACAGGAGAAAGGCCCAAAATATACCAGGCCATCAGAAACAGAAATTATATCTTTACCAAAACACAAAATTATTCTTTTGAGAATTTCAAGTTTTGGACGGAAAATGAAAAATGTTGAAATTGATCTTAATTCTGAAAAAGAGCAAGTTCGAATCACAGGAATGAGAGAAGACATTCAGACTGTTATTGATGAAATGAGGAATAAGTTGACAGAAGTAAAGCAACATGATCACAAAATACCAGACGAAATAGCTCTTTTACTTGAGCATAAAATGAGAGTACCTGATTTCACAAGGCAGACCTTGATGAGTGACAAAATTTATGCACATGTGATATGTTTAGCAAAGGAAAACAACATTCGTGCATATGCTTTCCAAAGAGATCATGCGAAGAAAGCTGTAGACAAGATGTTGTCACTTATTCAAAGTGAAGACATTTCTTACACTGACTGCCATTTCAAGTATCTGCGTAATGCTGCTTGGCAAAATCTTGTTCAGAAATGGGAAGGGCTCGGTCTTGTCAAAATAAAATTAATGAAAACAGAGAAAAAGATCCGAGTAATGTCACTGGCATCACCCACTGATGTTGTCAGAGATATTGAAAAAGAGCTCGAAAAGTTCAGTGATGTCACTGGTAAACCAATATCTATTGAAGGAGGAAAAGGAATGATGTTGCACTACTGTCTCCAAGACAAGATGAGACAGATGGAAAGTGATGTCAGGTAGGTGACACTAATAACTAGGTGCCATCAGCGATATGATCACAAACTGTTTAATTGATGACATTTAGAATGTGGCCTTAGGTTGGTGACAGTAATAAATAGGTGGCATCAAATGTATGATCTAAGTGCCACAAATTGTTCAATATATGACATTAAGGATATGGCCTTAGGTTGGTGGCACTTATAACTAGGTGGCATCAAATGTATGATCTAAGTGCCACAAACTGTTCAATATAAGACATTAGGGACTTGGCCTCAGATTGGTGGCACTTAAAACTATGTAGCATCAAGGGCATTTCTAATACTTGCTTGATGATATGTAAGATTGATTTGAAAAGACAGAGACACCAAACTGGTGGCATCAGATGAATACGTGTATATAGTTTAGGTAAATGCAAATGTGAAGTTATCGTTACTCTTATTAACAGGAATCTTTGGTAATTTTTCAATGATTTCAAAAACTTGTTTAAATCAGATGTGAAAACTGGGATTAAACATTGCTTAACTATACACACTGTATTGTAGACATTCTGGTGGTCAGATGGATCATGAATACAAAGCTGGTACCTACCTGGTCACTGTACAGGGCAGTCCAAACATTGTCCAGAAAACTGAGAGCAAGCTCCGCAGTCTGACCTTCAACATCTGGGAGGGTAATGTTGACCTTGGTAGACTTGAAGGGAAATCAAAAGCCCTCTCAGGTAAAAAAAAAAAAACAACTAAAAACATTGATTTATTCTGTCTGATTATACAAACATCTTAAAGGCCAAAAGGCCATAATAGGGGACGATAACCGGTTGAATAAATAGACTGACAACTGTGAAAACAGTGTTGACCTTGGCAGTCTGGAATGGAATTCAAAATATCTATCGAATTAAAAAAAGAAATGAAATATTCTCTCTGAACTTTTACCTCATCATCTTAGAGGAGAGTGGCAGGAAAGGAATTCAAAACACCCTCTCCAGAAAAGCAATCGTCACAGTAACCAAAAACCTTGGGGTACTGATATTGGGGTTGTAGCATGCTGAGATGAAAATGATTGACTTTGACCCATTTTTGAGGTAGCAGGGGTTTAGTCTTTTAGCTATGATTTTTCAATAACCAGAGAAATGCTGGAATGAAGATCTATAATATCAGCTGAAATGAATGGTCTTGTTCCACATTAAGACACATTGGAGGTCAGTTGTTAAACAACACGTTTTGATAATGATGACTGTGAAAGTAAATGTATTGTAAGTAAGGACTGTTATGTAGTAATGATCATGTATGTTGCCAGAAAAGATCCTTCTAAATATGTCTCTTTATAAGCTACTGACCAGATAAGTGATACAAGCTCACATTTGGCCTCTTGTTGTGGTTGTTATTATCTACATAATTGAAGTGTATCAGATCCACTTTTTTTGTTCTAATGTGGAAGTAAAGAACAGCCATAAAAAATATCCATTTACTAAGTTTTCTAATTGACCGGGCCATGTTAATTTTGTGTGACCATAATCTGATGTCTTATGTAATTTCCAATCATGTTTTTTGTGATAATTTTCTACAGGGGAAGAACTAGCTGTAGTTATTGAGGGCATTTCATCAAAGAAGGGCAAAGACTTCCTGAGGAGATTTAGCATCGAACATTCATGTGTCGTTCTGTTTTCCTCTCAACAAGGAGCCAGGCCCAGTTCCAGGTAGAATCTCTTTCTGACCATAATTGAAATATGTAATGTACTGTCTAAAAATTGAAGAGATTATATGTACACCTAGCAAAAAATTAAAGAAATCTTGTAGTTTATCTTAACTCAATAATGATGTGACTTATGTACATTGTATTAAGTTCTTGTATCAAATGTCATATTTAGGTGAATTTTGAAAAAAAAAATATGTTTTGATTCTTTGAGTCGTTTAAAGTAATAAATCTTGCCCTGAAAGCAGTGAGAGATGAAACTGGATGGGGAGACCTAGCATATCATTCTTGTTAATTTAGCTTGGATGATGAGGAGGACCAATGAGTTTAAGCTGCAAAATAGTAAAGATATTGTTTTATTGTGATTTTACTGTTTTATAATTATGCAATGTATGAATAGATTATGGGCTTGAATTCATTGATACTAATGTTATATCTATCAAACTGACGTTAGCATCTTTGGCTAAACTTTGATTAATCAGTACGATCTATCTTGGGGAAGGTTATAGAAAGTTTGGAACAATGGTATATGCAGATGGTCTTGATGCTGACTCAACATTAAGAGAATTTTCTCAGATGAAAGGAATTACTGTACATAGTTTTAATATCCACTGGACACTACCAACAGCCTAAACCAAAAATCTCATGAAAAATTTGTACTCATGAAAAATACAGGATTAATTTTGGTTTTGGTTTGCTGAAAGCTGCATGTTCACAGTGAAATATACTTCAGTTTGTGTCTATAACTATTTGATATTGGTGATTGTCAGGTTTGACGAACCAAAGGGATTGATGCTAAATAAGCGATCAAGTTCTATGCCTTTCCTGGAAATGCCCTCCACAAAACCACGCAACAGACATTCGAGAGCTGACTGGCCAGAACATTCACAGTCAGCCCAAGATATGCAAACCCCACCGAGACATAAATCTAGAACAGGAAGTGGAAACAGAGATGAACATGACCGAAGATATTATGAGGATTTCTCTAGACAAAGGAAACCAGGGAGATCCTCGAGACTTTCCAAGTCTATACAGATCAGAAATTGTACAATTTCTGTAAAGAAAGGAAGCATCATTAAGGAAATGGTAAGTGTATGCAAGGTTTGTATGTACATAATTTATCCTGCAATGTGCCAAGATGTTTAGATCATTATCACTCAAAGAAAATTAATGGGTTAATTTCTTACAGGACATTAAATTACAGTTATTGTAGGATCCGTTTGTGGGGCCATGGTTGCAGATGTGTTGAGACATCTGACAGTCTATATCACTAGCCCTCCAACTCTGGGTGGCAGGTTTGAGACCTACATGGTATGTGAGGCAGTCACCAGGTACTGGGTGCCGGCTGGTGGTATTTCTCTGGGAACTCTGAATTTCCTCTAACATCCAAACCTTAAATAACCCTGACTGTTTACTGGATGTAAACCGACTATAAACAAACAAAAAAATGCATGGGTTTTGTAATTGTATTGAAAAAGCACTGTATTTTTATGTGGCAGAGCTTAGTACGTGGCATACATGTGGAACAGAGGTCATTATCCATTTGAATGATTCTGATTCAAGTCCAAGACCTCTAATGGTACTATTCTTACATTCAACTGATGGAGCTAAAGAGAAGTAATTTTGGCTAGTACTTGCCAGGGTTATATACCCCCTACCTCCTCCAGGAAAAGAACTTGTCCTTAAGCTCCCAGCAGTGCTTATTGGGAAAGGCTAGTACTCGCCAGAGTTATATACCCCCTACCCCCTCCAGGAAAAGAACTCACCAGGGCAGTTATTGGGATACTCCCACCCCCTATATACCCCCTCCAGGAAAAGAACTTGTCCTTAAGCTCCCAGCAGTGCTTATTGGGAAAGGCTAGTACTCGCCATGGTTATATACCCCCTACCCCCTCCAGGAAAAGAACTTGTCCTTAAGCTCCCAGCAGTGCTTATTGGGAAAGGCTAGTACTCGCCATGGTTATATACCCCCTACCCCTCCAGGAAAAGAACTTGTCCTTAAGCTCCCAGCAGTGCTTATTGGGAAAGACTAGTACTCACCAGGGTTATATACCCCCTACCCCCTCCAGGAAAAGAACTTGTCCTTAAGCTCCCAGCAGTGCTTATTGGGCAAGGCTAGTACTCGCCAGAGTTATATACCCCCTACCCCTCCAGGAAAAGAACTTGTCCTTAAGCTTCCAGCAGTGCTTATTGGGCAAGGCTAAGTATTATTTCTGAGTACTGAAGGGCCAAGTGAGCTTATGCTGTGGTGCAGCATCTGTTGTCTGTCTGTCATCCCATTGTCCAGCATCAACATTTCCATTTAAACGACTTCTTCTCACTAACCAACAGAAAGAGGAAGGTATTTAGCTGGTGGGTTGCTAGGATAAAGCCAGTTAATGCTTGGGGAAAAAAAATTACCTTGACCCTTATTAAAGATCACAGTAGTTAAATTTGTTAAACCTTAAAACAACTTCTTCTGACAAACCAAAAGGCACAAAAACATGGTAATTGGGTGATAGGTTCCTAGTAGATAGCCTAACAGAGATACAAAAAGATTATTTACCTGACCCATCTTCAAGGTCAGAGGGGTCAAGTCAAATCAACATCCTCTGATTAACCAGTGATGCAGAAGAATGGTATTTGTAGGCTACTAGGATGAGGCCAGTCAAAGTTTTCAAAAAAGAAATTACCTTGATCCTTATTCAAGGTGACAGTGATCAAATTGATTAAATTTTAAAACAACTTCATTTGACTCTTTAAACAAAAAGATTCAGTAGCATTGTATTTGGCTGACAGGTTCCTAGGATGAAGCCTAACCAAGTTTGTGAACTGAAGTTACCTTGACTTGTTACAAGATCACTGATGTTAAAGGGCCGGTTTCCAAAATGGCCCCTTCTCTGATTCAAATTTCCTGTTGGTGGTGCATTGCCCATGCCGTTGTGGTCACAAATCTATAAAGTATAAAGATTTAGGTCACTTGGTTTGTTTTTTATGGCTCCTCAAAGTTGTACCTTTCAGAAGCTGTCTAAGTGTTGATAAAATGTGCATGTTATGTAAAATATTAATGAAAATCTAATCAAATGATAGTCACCGTAAAGAATACATTCATGGCATGATTGTGACAAAAATCATGTTTCCATCGCGCCATTTGGCTGTTTTATAGAAGAAACAATCTCAAAAATGCCATTTTCGATGATAACATTTTAGACACAAAAACTGTGTTTTTTAGAGAATACACCCTTTTATGGGCGTTGGATGCAAACCAATTTTTATCCTGTTAAATAGTATGTAATATGCTATTGATGAGAGGAAAAATCATCAAAATGTAAGTGGTGGAACATTTTCAAATGTTGGGTTGAATTAGCCTATGGTTGAATTGCCGATTTTCGACTTCCTTTAGATAATTAACAAAAATACGAGAGTATTTGCTCGGTATGTTGAGAATATGTACACAGATATGAAAAAAAGTGAGAGAAACACTTTTTCATAAAAAAATCCAAGGTGGCTACTTCGTAAGTCCCCGTGGTTGAAGACATTGGCTGACAAATAGACAGAACAACAAACAAAACGTGTTCCTTATGATTTTGGTTGGTTTTCGCATTTACGGGAGTGTTCATAGCTACGGGCGATTGTATAATACCTATATTTATAAGGTTGGTTAGTCACATGGAAACGGGGATCTTTCATATCGAGCCCCAAACATACTTTCGACATATGCACTCTGTTTTGTCGGAATTTCTTTACCTGTGGTTGTAATGGTTGAGGGTTTTCCTGCGTCCTGTAATACCCAAGGTAGTACAAGATACTGGAGATGTGCGTACACATTCCCATCGTTCTCTCTCCAACTGGGCACTGGCAGTAGTAGTTCTTTATTTGGGCCTCAACATCGGGTGAAACGGTGAACCGTATCCAAACGTTATATTTCGTTTGGCTTTTGTGTCGAGAATGTATTTGACATCGGAGAAGTCTGGGGAGTGCTGGTAAAGCCACACCTCATAGTCGCCGTCATCACTTAAATGTTCGGCGATGTAACCAGGAGCCAGAGGTTCTCAAGTAATCAAGATCGAGACGGGGAAACAGTACTTTATTTATTTATTTTTTTTCTTTTTACATCATAAAACTGTCATGAAAATATCCGCTCTGATATTCAATATAAAAGTTTGTATATAATAAGCTATATAATAGGGTTTCAGACAAGGTTGTTACTCATTTCCCCTTTTCTTTCAATTTACAACCACATTCAGGCGGCGATATGAGAACGTTCCACCACATGGAATTAGCTGATTTTTGGTACACATATGAAACAAGTAAAGCTCTATCCGATTTTCTTATGGAAATTTGCATCCAAAACTATATAACGGGAGAAAATTGCAAATTTATGGCATTTTTCTTCATAATTGTGTCTCTGCAAGTGCATTTTCATCCGAGAATATTTTTTTTTATGTTTTATGAATAAACACGATGTTTTGGAAATATTTATCAAAAGAAATTTATACTATGTTGCGAATTACAATTTCGAGATAACCTTCTTTTATTTACGAACTTATGTCTTTGATGCTGAAATTGACAACTTTATAAAAATACATTTTCACTGAAATTATGAAATCTGGGTGTCGGAAAGGTGTAAAATTATTTTTCGGAAAAGAAAAAAACAGTAGTTGAGCTAGATAAGAAATTATACAGGGGCAGGCTCCTATGGAGAATTAACATTACTGGAAACAGGCCCTTTGTTAAAACATTTGAATGATTTCTGATGACCAACCAAAAGATATAGAAGCATGGTACAATTTATTTTGCAAATAGGTTTCTAGGATGAAGCCCAACAATGTTCAGGAAAAGAAAATACCTTGATTCTTATTCAAGGTCACAGGAATTACATTTGTTAAAACCCTTAAACAACCTCATCTGTCTACCAAAAGGCATAGAATATGCTATTTGAATGGTAGGTCTCTGGGATGAATCGGGACAAAGTTTGCAAAAAATGAAATGACTTTGACACATATTCAAGGTCACAGGGGTCAAATTGTTAAAACCTGTAAAAGACTTCTGTTGAACAATAACTCTGAGAGGATATTGCTGGAAATGTGTGTCTAGGTCAAAATGTGACAAACCTTGAGAAAAAAAAAACAAGCATTTACTTATAATTCATGTCATATCTGTCATTGTTTAGAGTTCAGTATCAGTATTGATGCTGTTTGTTGTGGAAATTTTTAAGTAAAATTGATTGGATGTGCCTACTTTGAATACCAATGGTGTATATGTCAATATATTTGTGATATGAACACTGATTCTATTTTTGATGTACATTGTGAGCCATGCGGGCTCATCCTTTTTGTATAATTGTTGTTTGTGTACTATTTTGTAACTTTACTTGTCAGGTTATGACATACAATGTATACCAGTAAATTTCTCAGAGATCTCTATCAATGGTTCTCTCTAGGTCTGGATATCTAATGCCTGTTTCTTTATTGTAGGCCAGTATTTCTGTGAATGTTGTCGGAGAATCAAGAAACCTTACAGAAAGCTTCATTTCCAGGCAATTTTGTGAACTTGGAGGTCCTGCATTGGAGAAGGTAGATGACTTAACTGATTATAATAGTTTCATTGACATGTATTCATAATATAAACACATGAAGGTGGAGTCTCTTTGTGCTGTGGAAATGCACTCATCTTTCACCTAGATGTCTGGGGCTGATTTTCAGAATAGTTATTAAAAGTTATGGGGACACGTAGATGTCTGGGGCTGATTTTCAGAATAGTTATTAAAAGTTATGGGGACACGTAGATGTCTGGGGCTGATTTTCAGAATAGTTGCTAAAAAGTTATGGGGACACGTAGATGTCTGGGGCTGATTTTCAGAATAATTGTTAAAAGTTATGGGGACACGTAGATGTCTGGGGCTGATTTTCAGAATAGTTATTAAAAGGTATGGGGACACGTAGATGTCTGGGGCTGATTTTCAGAATAGTTGTTAAAAGTTATGGGGACACGTAGATGTCTGGGGCTGATTTTCAGAATAGTTGCTAAAAAGTATGGGGACATGTAGATGTCTGGTGCTGATTTTCAGAATAGTTGTTAAAAGTTATGGGGACACGTAGATGTCTGGGGCTGATTTTCAGAATAATTGTTAAAAGTTATGGGGACACGTAGATGTCTGGGGCTGATTTTCAGAATAGTTATTAAAAGGTATGGGGACACGTAGATGTAGTTGTTAAAAGTTATGGGGACACGTAGATGTCTGGGGCTGATTTTCAGAATAGTTGCTAAAAAGTATGGGGACATGTAGATGTCTGGTGCTGATTTTCAGAATAGTTGTTAAAAGTTATGGGGACACGTAGATGTCTGGGGCTGATTTTCAGATTAGTTATTAAAAGTTATGGGGACACGTAGATGTCTGGGGCTGATTTTCAGAATAATTGTTAAAAGTTATGGGGACACGTAAATGTCTGGGGCTGATTTTCAGAATAGTTGTTAAAAGGTATGGGGACACCTTTCCAAACACATAAGTTTTCGTTGTGTCCTGCAGTTTCCTCCCACAATGCTCTTCCATCCAGACCAACAAGAGTGATTAATATAAGCTTGTTTCACAATTGTTGTAACATTGATAAGTGTGTGTATTGATATTTATATTTATACAAATGCATTGTGTGAACTCATTTTGTAGCACAAATTTGTGATGATCAATGAATCACAATATTTATCAATAACATACAGGGTTTTCCATAAGAGCTGGTCGCCGGCCAATTTGACTGGCTTCTTTGATCATTTGGCCGCCTACACCAATCCAGTTCCGTAATAATGTTCCTTACACGACTACACGTACACGGCAGGCCACCCCCACCTCGTGGCGTTGTGGCTCGGGTCGGCTTGCTTCGCTAGCCTCCTACTTTCACTACACAGCCTACTACTAACAAAATTATGGAAAACCCTGAACATATAATAGAATTATTAATAGAATCTTGAAACCTGTGTGAGGTGAGATAAGGTAATGTCTGCCTGAGAGTAAAAAACATGAGGCTTTCTGAAATATTGAAAACTTGATAATTTTTCCCTATTGATCTAGATTGCACTATCTAACCCTCAGAAGGGAAAATGTTAAACTGTGAATCGCATGGTGTAATGGGCATTGATTAGCAAGAATACTTCTTAATGGCCATTAAAATACAGTTAGATAGCCAAAGTTTAATTCATAACCATTAATTGCTAACAAATCATATAGTAATGGCCATTAATTTCACAATGTACTATAGTGTCCATATGCCAGTGTACATTGCTCAACCCTCTTCATTTACGTAATTAATGGTGATTATATTTGTTAGACACATAGCACAAGTCCATGAAAGAAATACAGTATGCCAAAAATTAGGAACAATGCACCAATATTTGTTTAATATGTATACGCATTCATGAATTGATCAATTTGACACTACTTTATCATCATCGTTATGATGTCCTAACTAGTGCATGTGCTTTATTTTCCTTTGTTGGTTTAAAATGATATTGGTACAATAATGGGTCGGCACAGATAATTCTAATTAAGTTTTACCTATGATGACAATACACACTAACATAATATTTTGTTACATGTTTACTTTTGTTATTCCAATTTGTTGGTCCAGTAGATGGTAGCATACCCAGCTGATGAGTCCTGTGTGCACTGGATGGGTCATAACACAGTAGGACGAAACACACACAATAAATTATAAAGTTTATTTTTTGGAAAAAAAACAATGTGAATAAATAATCATTCTGGAAATCATTAATTATCATCAAAAATTTTACATGTCATTGGACATGCATTGAGAAGCAATGTTATATACTTTTCTGACATGTTTGAACATGCATGCACGTAACATTCAACATAAATCAATAATATGCTCAACCTGTTTTTATTTGGAAACAATTATACAGCCACAATACAGATTCCTATTCTTTTTTACATAGATAAGATGATAAAAAGTTCTTAATATTTCATATGAAATTTACCGTAAATATATCTGTGGTCATTAATATTATATACACTCGTAAGATAGATTAAGGAATCTATCTGAAGGTGTTATATGTATATATATATATGTAGAAGTTAATTCAATCTAACAATTAAAACCTTTACCAGCCATACAGAATATGTTCCCTTGATCAAGATTTATCACAATGATTAAAATGTTTTAAAACAACCCACCATTTGTGTCTTCCAGCACACTGTTAGGCCTACAACTGCAAATGGACAGTGTCCTGCTGTCAGATAGGGGCAAAGAAGCCCAACGTCATTAGAAAGGTCAACAGTACAAAACAGGAAAACTGATCTCGTGGTGTTACAATAGATACATCATTTCAGAGGATTTTGGATAATAAATGGGTTAAGCCACTTTTTTTCAAAACATTATTATGGACATGATTCTTGACGAATTTTACACCAAAGATGTAGATTTGCCAACAGGTGTTTGAAATTCTGATTAATTCAGTAGAGATACAATACAATTGAATAAAAATAGTATTAAATTGACCAGTTTTTCATATGATATTAGGCCCAATATCTATTTACAGCCAGAATAATTCATAGTGTTGTAATTTTGTGAATAGTCTGATTTCAATTTTTACAAAGCTTGCCTGAAATTAAACGTAGGGGAAAATAATACGAAATCTAACCACTTAGTCCTTTTAATACTATTTATACATCAATTAAATATGACTTTAATTTTACCAAATACATGTATACACAGCTAACTATATTTAACACTGTCATGTCATTGAGCTGTTGTTATTAAGTTTCGTTGGGAAATGTTTTGCTGTTGAAATATTAATGATACCAGGAGTAAATTCGTTTACATTCTCCGATTATACCACTTAATATTTTCAAAATAAATTATTGGATGTGTTTCATCCTACATTTATTGGGCCACATCCAGTGCACACAGGACTCATCAGCTGGGGATGTTACCTTCTGCTGGACCAACAAATTGGAATAACAAAAGTGTAACAAAACGTAATCAGTAATAATATCATTCGTAGGACCAACAGTTGCAAGCACTTTTTTATTTTAATTGCTTAGATTCATGACAGGAACGAATGTAGGTTACATATGTCAACTGAAAATTAAAATAGGTATTACATTAGGAAAATTGAAATTGTGGAAGATTGATTGAGGCTTCAGCCTTAACATCTTGCTAGTATACAATAAAATTACATGCTGGGTAATTGTAAAAGTTTGCAAGATTTGTATTTGAACTGTAAAATGTTTGAGATCACATGTCATACATATATATATATGCAAATTAAATTTGTATTTTCAATTCACTTTTTTGGTCCATTAAACTGCAGAAATCCCTTCAAACTGCCTTTAAGTTGGTAGATTAGAGGGGGTACATTTATTATTTTTTTCATGGCAATTATTTACAGTGTTTAATGGGCATTATGCAAGAAATGTAATGGAAACATTTTAACGGCCCTGAATATTAGTATGTGTCATGGTATTTTCATGGCCATTAAAATGTCTCTGTTTAAAGGCCATTAAACAAGTCAATAATGCCAATGAAAGTGGGTTAAGATTAATGGGTTTGTATGCCATTAACAGTGCCTGAACAAGGAATTAATGGTCATCAATCACCACTGTCATTTTTGATGTTAATGGCCATGGAAATTACCCCCTTAATATTAAAATGTTTTTAAAGATTTATTAACAGGTTTTTAATGGGGATTTTAATGGGTTGAATATAATGGATTTTCATGGGGATTTAATGGCATTATATATGGCAGTGATAGTTAGGTTTGTGAATTGTAAGCATGACACTGTCATAGTTTGCATTGTCATAAAGCCATACCACTGTGTAAGTTTACTTTGTCATGAAGTCATACCACTGTCAAAGTTTAGATGTCATGAAGTCATACCACAGGTAACATTTACATTGTCATGAAGCCATACCACTGTCAAAGTTTACATTGTCATAGAGCCATACCACTGTCAAAGTTTACATTGTCATGAGGTCATACCACTGTCAAAGTTAACATTGTCATGAAGTCATACCAATGTCAATGTTTACATTGTCATAAAGCCATACCACTGTCAAAGTTTACATTGTCATGAAGTCATACCACTGTCAAAGTTTACATTGTCATGAAGTCATACCACTGTCAAAGTTTACTTTGTCATGAAGTCATACCACTGTCAAAGTTTACTTTGTCATGAAGTCATACCACTGTCAAAGTTTACTTTGTCATGAAGCCATACCACTGTCAAAGTTTACTTTGTCATAAAGCCATACCACTGTCAAAGTTTACTTTGTCATAAAGCCATACCACTGTCAAAGTTTACTTTGTCATGAAGCCATACCACTGTCAAAGTTTACATTGTCATGAAGTCATACCACTGTCAAAGTTTACATTGTCATGAAGTCATACCACTGTCAAAGTTTACTTTGTCAAGAAGTCATACCACTGTCAAAGTTTACTTTGTCATGAAGTCATACCACTGTCAAAGTTTACTTTGTCATAAAGCCATACCACTGTCAAAGTTTACTTTGTCATGAAGCCATACCACTGTCAAAGTTTAAATGTCATGAAGTCATACCACTGCCCTGACAGGTGAATCCTCTAAACTCTTCCCTAGAGTATGATGTAATGGGGAATACATTCCATTCATTTGGCGGATACTTTCACCAGGCCAAGAGAAAATATTGTCAAAACTGATTGAAATTCTTTACAAGGATTTATTCAATCCATATATTACAGATATGTTTACAACACATCACACTTGTAAAACCATTATGCTTGCTGATTTTTGCAACTTTAACATTGATTACATGTATTTATGTTGCGTTTTGCTCATGTGGATGGTCAAGTGCATGGACATTGTATTTTGTTTAAGTCTGTGCCTATATTTCAGTCTTTTAAAAGGGTTGACATTGGAGAGAATGTTGTTTTTACTCCGAGTTCTGGTGGTTTACTATGTGAGAATGTCTGTCACCTGGTTTTACGGAAGTGGCGCTTTGACCAGAAAAGGCTGGTATGTATATTTGTTATCCATACATAGTCCTTTGAGTTTGACTCCCCTTATAACACTACTCTTATTCTGGGCGTGGTTTTGTTCACCCTGGTATTAAACTCTTTATACCAAATGTTATATAAGGCTCTTATACATTAAAGCCTATATCTTGTAGCTTTAAAATCAAACTTAAACCCATCATCTTTTATTTTTGCCCTATAGTAAAAAAACATTTCCCCAAACAGAGGATAATGATAGACCTCCATTCTACAATAAGTCTAGAGATGCCTGTCGCATTACGCTTACTTAATAACACACTCCAATTTACCTCACGATATGTTTGTTAATATTCAATATAGGAACAAAGGAAAAACTGTAGTTTTACTGGAAAGTTTCTATTTTACGAAAATATGATTGAAAAATTTTCTATTTCATTGAGAGTGATAGATGATCTATTCATTTCAATTGATTTTGAAAACAAAAATGAAACTTCTTTATGCCCAATTTTGTAAAATAAGATATTCAATTTTTCTTCTCACTACTCTTTTTAAATTTTGATGCATATTTCATTTATATATATATATATATATAATGTAAAGTAAAGTCAGTGGATGATAAACTGTGTACTTAGTATGCCTGTATCTTATGTTAAAACTTTCACTGCTGTTTAACTTTCACTTGTTTCACTCTTTTGTCAGTAGGGTGAAATGTTATGATGAGCTGGAATATGACAATGAGCAGAAATACATTTTTGAGTATTTGATTGATATTAACACTGGGTGTGAAATGAAAAGTTTAATGTGTGGGCAAAAGAAATCCTGGGCAAAGGTTTCCAAAAGTACTGTACCATTTCTAATAAAACGAAAATTTCCTATACATATATTGGGTTAGTTACCTGGCAATATAAGACCAGGTCTGTAAATAAGCTTGTCCCTATCTTATTTAGAGTTTCAACAAAAATGTCTTTAATTACTGTCTCATTGTCCTGTAATAAGTCCACTTCCCTTATCTGAGATCAAGATTTCTGTTCCGAAAGCTTATTGCAGGATAAATTTCAAATAAAAAAATAATGATTTCATGATATTGTTTTTTGGGCAGTTACAAAATGAGATAGAATCGAGCCTTCAGGAAATATTCTTAGAAGCTAAGAATCTGCGTGCCTCCTCAATCGCCTTTCCAGGTGTCGGAACAGGAAGACTTCTTGACTACCCTGTTCCTTTCATAGCTGAATATTTGTTGTCGGGGGCTGTCACAGCCTGTAAACAGGGTACCAGTTTGCAAGTAAGTGATAAAATCCTAGTGCAGAACATTGCATAGCTCATGACAAAATTAGAACTGAAAGATATATGTTATGATTATTTAAGAGCAATGCTTGCTTATCTGAAAATTGTGATAGAGATCTGAAGATCATTTCTTTTAATACTTTTCAGAAGGTGACATTTGTTATTTATGATGAAAAACAGCTTGAAGTTTTCATTAAACAACTTGAAAGAGAAGAAGAAAAGAGTGCACACTTGATCCAACATCCTCAAAATCAAGTTCAAGGTACGTACAAAACAGTTGTTACCTGTCAGGTGAAGGAGGGTAACCTAGAGGCATTGTGAGGAGGTGGGGAGAGAGAGGCAGGGGAGGGGGAAGGGAGTTAAAAGATGAGAGACTTCGGGTTTAGTATGAGAAGAAGTGTGTAGAGGCAGAGGAAAAAGGAGAGATAGGAAAGTTAGAAACTGGGAGGATATCTGAAGGGGTAGTCTGGTTATGGAAGTGAGAAATGAAAGGAAGTGATGTGCATGTGTTGCACTTAGTGTCACTCTTGTGTCTGTTATTGATTTATGTCATATGTAATGAGTAAGATAGCTTGAAAATTCTGGTAAAGCAGTGTGGTTAAACACACAGAAACAGTTGTGGTATTGATGGAATTGAAAATTTCCAATAATTTCAGTTTTGCCTGTGATATGTGATCAAAACTTTCACCAGTCACTGCAGTGATGTCACTTTCCAGTAATGATATATCATTTTGAGTTTTGACCAGTTAGAATGGTGATTTCTATTCATTGCATTGACATTTTCTGATTTCTGTGTGGCAGCAGAAAAGGCAATTTATATATCAAATGAAACTATTTCCCATTCTGTCAAATTTTATATTCCAGTACCAGTTTTTCCAACAGGTAGCAGTAGACAGGAAGCGCCCATTTCTTTAGTGCATCCAAGGTCAAAGTCAGACGTGTCACAGGGTAGTATGACCTTGTTCTGTACACCAAAAGAGAAAGGGGAAGAGCTACGAAGCACCCTGTCTGCAGATCTAAGGAAAAGTTTTCTAGATAAAGACAAAATTCAGCTTCATTCTGAGAAAGTGGATAAGAGGAGAATTTACCAACTTTGCTCTGGAAAACCTGTTCAAGTGAAGATTCAGCAAGGTAATTTCATGATTTGTGTGTGAAAAGGAATCATAACAAAATGCAGTTTAAATGTAGGAAAAACAATTGTTACAAGAATGCATCAAGTCTTTCTGGAGTAGCAGTCATATGTCAAATATTTGTTAGTCATGTATTAGTGTGCAAATCACTCTGTACATATTACATAATTAGCTCACAAAACATCCAATGAATCCATAATCCTGTTTCAGCTCACAAAACATCCAATGAGACCATATTATCCTGTTTCAGCTCACAAAACATCCAATGAGACCATAATCCTGTTTCAGCTCACAAAACATCCAATGAGTCCATATTATCCTGTTTCAGCTCACAAAACATCCAATGAGTCCATATTATCCTGTTTCAGCTCACAAAACATCCAATGAGACCATAATCCTGTTTCAGCTCACAAAACATCCAATGAGTCCATATTATCCTGTTTCAGCTCACAAAACATCCAATGAATCCATAATCCTGTTTCAGCTCACAAAACATCCAATGAGACCATAATCCTGTTTCAGCTCACAAAACATCCAATGAGACCATAATCCTGTTTCAGCTCACAAAACATCCAATGAGACCATATTATCCTGTTTCAGCTCACAAAACATCCAATGAGACCATAATCCTGTTTCAGCTCACAAAACATCCAATGAGACCATAATCCTGTTTCAGCTCACAAAACATCCAATGAGACCATAATCCTGTTTCAGCTCACAAAACATCCAATGTTTCAGTTCACAAAACATCCAATGAGACCATAATCCTAATTCAGCTCACAAAACATCCAATGAGACCATAATCCTGTTTCAGCTCACAAAACATCCAATGAGACCATATTATCCTGTTTCAGCTCACAAAACATCCAATGAGACCATAATCCTAATTCAGCTCACAAAACATCCAATGAGACCATAATCCTGTTTCAGCTCACAAAACATCCAATGAGACCATATTATCCTGTTTCAGCTCACAAAACATCCAATGAGACCATAATCCTAATTCAGCTCACAAAACATCCAATGAGTCCATATTATCCTGTTTCAGCTCACAAAACATCCAATGAGTCCATATTATCCTGTTTCAGCTCACAAAACATCCAATGAGTCCATATTATCCTGTTTCAGCTCACAAAACATCCAATGAGTCCATATTATCCTGTTTCAGCTCACAAAACATCCAATGAGTCCATATTATCCTGTTTCAGCTCACAAAACATCCAATGAGTCCATATTATCCTGTTTCAGCTCACAAAACATCCAATGAGACCATAATCCTGTTTCAGCTCAAAAAACATCCAATGAGTCAATATTATCCTGTTTCAGCTCACAAAACATCCAATGAGTCCATATTATCCTGTTTCAGCTCACAAAACATCCAATGAGACCATATTATCCTGTTTCAGCTCACAAAACATCCAATGAGTCCATATTATCCTGTTTCAGCTCACAAAACATCCAATGAGTCCAATGTTTCAGCTCATAATGAGACCATAATCCTGTTTCAGCTCACAAAACATCCAATGAATCCATAATCCTGTTTCAGCTCACAAAACATCCAATGAGTCCATATTATCCTGTTTCAGCTCACAAAACATCCAACGAGACCATAATCCTGTTTCAGCTCACAAAACATCCAATGAGACCATAATCCTGTTTCAGCAAAACATCCAATGAGTCCATATTATCCTGTTTCATCACAAAACATCCAATGAGACCATAATCCTAATTCAGCTCACAAAACATCCAATGAGTCCATATTATCCTGTTTCAGCTCACAAAACATCCAATGAGTCCATATTATCCTGTTTCAGCTCACAAAACATCCAATGAGACCATATTATCCTGTTTCAGCTCACAAAACATCCAATGAGACCATATTATCCTGTTTCAGCTCACAAAACATCCAATGAGACCATAATCCTGTTTCAGCTCACAAAACATCCAATGAGACCATAATCCTGTTTCAGCTCACAAAACATCCAATGAGTCCATATTATCCTGTTTCAGCTCACAAAACATCCAATGAGACCATAATCCTGTTTCAGCTCACAAAACATCCAATGAGACCATAATCCTGTTTCAGCTCACAAAACATCCAATGAGACCATAATCCTGTTTCAGCTCACAAAACATCCAATGAGACCATATTATCCTGTTTCATAGCTCACAAAACATCCATCCTGTTTCAGCTCACAAAACATCCAATGAGACCATATTATCCTGTTTCAGCTCACAAAACATCCAATGAGACCATATCCAATGATCCTGTTTCAGCTCACAAAACATCCAATGAGTCCATATTATCCTGTTTCAGCTCACAAAACATCCAATGAGACCATAATCCTGTTTCAGCTCACAAAACATCCAATGAGACCATATTATCCTGTTTCAGCTCACAAAACATCCAATGAGACCATATTATCCTGTTTCAGCTCACAAAACATCCAATGAGACCATATTATCCTGTTTCAGCTCACAAAACATCCAATGAGACCATAATCCTGTTGTAGCTCACAAAACATCCAATGAGACCATATTATCCTGTTTCAGCTCACAAAACATCCAATGAGACCATAATCCTGTTTCAGCTCACAAAACATCCAATGAGACCATATTATCCTGTTTCAGCTCACAAAACATCCAATGAGTCCATATTATCCTGTTTCAGCTCACAAAACATCCAATGAATCCATAATCCTGTTTCAGCTCACAAAACATCCAATGAGACCATATTATCCTGTTTCAGCTCACAAAACATCCAATGAGTCCATATTATCCTGTTTCAGCTCACAAAACATCCAATGAGACCATAATCCTGTTTCAGCTCACAAAACATCCAATGAGACCATAATCCTGTTTCAGCTCACAAAACATCCAATGAGACCATATTATCCTGTTTCAGCTCACAAAACATCCAATGAGACCATAATCCTGTTTCAGCTCACAAAACATAACAAAACATCCAATGAGACCATAATCCTGTTTCAGCTCACAAAACATCCAATGAGACCATAATCCTGTTTCAGTTTCTCACAAAACATCCAATGAGACCATAATCCTGTTTCAGCTCACAAAACATCCAATGAGTCCATATTATCCTGTTTCAGCTCACAAAACATCCAATGAGACCATAATCCTGTTGTAGCTCACAAAACATCCAATGAGACCATATTATCCTGTTTCAGCTCACAAAACATCCAATGAGACCATAATCCTGTTTCAGCTCACAAAACATCCAATGAGACCATAATCCTGTTTCAGCTCACAAAACATCCAATCCAATCCTGTTTCAGACAAAACATAATCCTGTTTCAGCTCACAAAACATCCAATGAGACCATAATCCTGTTTCAGCTCACAAAACATCCAATGAGACCATAATCCTGTTTCAGCTCACAAAACATCCAATGAGACCATAATCCTGTTTCAGCTCACAAAACATCCACAGAGAACATAATCCTGTTTCAGCTCACAAAACATCCAATGAGACCATAATCCTGTTTCAGCTCACAAAACATCCAATGAGTCCATATTATCCTGTTTCAGCTCACAAAACATCCAATGAGACCATAATCCTGTTTCAGCTCACAAAACATCCAATGAGTCCATATTATCCTGTTTCAGCTCACAAAACATCCAATGAATCCATAATCCTGTTTCAGCTCACAAAACATCCAATGAGACCATAATCCTGTTTCAGCTCACAAAACATCCAATGAGACCATATTATCCTGTTTCAGCTCACAAAACATCCAATGAGACCATAATCCTAATTCAGCTCACAAAACATCCAATGAGTCCTTAATCCTGTTTAAGCTTACAAAACATCCAATGAGTCCTTAATCCTTGTATTTATCAATCATACAAAGACAGGGCCTGCAACTCCTTTATTACAGAATTATTGGAGTTTTTGTCCAATAATGTAATTTTTGGGGGAGCATTCCTCAGTTTCTTAAACACTCTTCTTTTATTTGCAGACAAGAAGAAGATAACAGTATTAGGTGAGAAGGAAGCTGTACATTCTGTAACAAAAAATGTCTATAAGATTCTTCACGAGTCTGCTGCCGAACAAGCTCCTAAGAAATACAGTCCACCTCACGGGGATAAACATGGAACATCATCGTATTGGGTTGAACTGTTTGAGAATCCTCCAGTACCCCAATATTGGAAATACTTTAAGGGTGGCTATGGTTTTATGGACTATTTCAGAAAACTTTTTAACAAAGGGAACAGAACAGAAATACTTGATGTTGACTCAACAACCTTTGGATATGTAAAATCAGTAGTGGAAAGAACATTTGACAGAAAGCTGGTTGGTCACGGACATGATGCTAAAGGGCTGACTCACTCCCAGATAGTCATTCGAAAGGTGGAGAGGATTGAAAACTATTCATTATATGAAGCATATGCTCTTGAGAGGAGAAAATTTTTCAAACGTAAAGGAAGTGGAAAAAGTAAATGTTTGCCCCTTGAGACAATTCCTCAAAAGAATAAAGGACCAATTACAACCACTCAGTGTATCAACAGCCATTTGTTGTCGGACATGTTCAAAGATATCAATGAGCATTACTTCTTCCATGGCACGGATGATGAACGCATCAAGAGGATCTCAGAGAAAGGCTTGGATCCACGCTATGGGGGAAATGGAATGTTTGGTCAGGGCATCTATGGTGCTGAATGTTCTACAAAGGCTGACCAGTATGCTGGTATGTTTGAAATCTTGTTGGTATTTAAAATTTCTGCAAATTATTGAGATCTTTGGTTTCCATTCTATATAATGTATGAAGGGCATTTTGTCTGTCTATCCCATTGTATTTCATTCTGAATCATGGTCTTATCTTATGGTCAATCCCATGGTATCAAGCTCTAACACCGTATCAGGTTCTGATTTGTATAGAGTAGGTGTATTCATGTCAATTTTTAGTTTAGACATATATATATCAGTCCAATTCACAAGATTGAAAGAGTTTTCTTGTTCACTTTTAACATAATGAAACATCCAGATAAATAGTTTTATGCAACCGTTTGCTTGTTGTATGTACAATGTACATACCATTTGATTGACAAGAAGTCATTTGAAAAGCTTTAACAAATTTTGTCACATTTAGGGAGCATAACCCATCTCTAACTGCCCTTGTTTATAGCATGAATTTAGATTTTGTTTTAGACTATATATGTAGCATTCAAATGTGAACAAAGGAAGTGCAGTTAAAGCCATGGATCATTAGATGAAATCACCCTTTGTCTATTTGTTCTAGTTTTAAACTGATTGGAAAAATTCAAAATGAAATGGCCAAAAAGCAACAATATTGGATTTTAATTTTCTGAAGATTTTAATTATTTTCATATTTTTGGCAGATTGTATTGGATCGATTTTCTCAAATCTCAGAAGCAGATTTGCCTTGATTTACAAAGTTACTATTTAAATTCATTCAGCTGTCAATACAACATAAAAACAAACAATATTTGATTTTCATCAAAAAAGTACTGTATTGACATTGCCTGTTGACAATGTCTTGTATACTTGTGTGTTGTAGACACATCAACTTCACGACAATCACAAGGGAGAAAGATGTTAATGATGCGTCTGTTACTTGGTGACACCTTCGTGACCTCCGTTCCAGAAAAGTACAGTTTACCCCCATGCAAAACATGCAACAAGGTCAAATGTTTAACTCATCACCATAACTATGATTCAGTTGTTGCAGACGGTCAATGGCTTTTCAGGGAGTTTGTTGTTTACGACAAAAATCAATGTTATCCAGAATATATAATTACTTATGACCGCCAGTGATGATGAATTTTGTGCCTCTTCCGTTTTCTTCAAGGGCTGTGATGACTCAATCCAAAGAATTATGCCCTAAGCAGCCCGAGATGTGTGTTGCAATGCTTCTTGTCTGTGGCAGCTTGTGTATACCCAATGCATTAATGTTATTCAAAGTAAAATGTTGGAGCTGACACCATGATTTAGGGAAGTGTGTTCCATCATTCCATCCTTAGATTATGTATCTCTAGATTAATTCACATCGTTGTTGAATTTGCAAGAAGCAAGAACATGTCAGTTTCATTTACGAACAGGATTACAGTCACCTAAGAAAGTCAGAAAGTGAAATATGATAATAAAAACAATATCAGGAGGTGTTTGGAAGTTTGAATAAGTCCCTCTTCTTGTTTAATTTGTTTGTAATTATTACAAACCATGATCGTGCAGGAGGAAATGTGAGATTCTGGAAAAATAGAGACGACAGGGTCACACTGCAAAGACAACAGGTTCACACTGCAAAGACGACAGGGTCACACTGCAAAGACGACAGGGTCACACTGCAAAGACGACAGGGTCACACTGCAAAGACGACAGGTTCACACTGCAAAGACGACAGGTTCACACTGCAAAGACGACAGGGTCACACTGCAAAGACGACAGGGTCACACTGCAAAGACGACAGGGTCACACTGCAAAGACGACAGGTTCACACCGCAAAGACGACAGGGTCACACCGCAAAGACGACAGGGTCACACCGCAAAGACGACAGGGTCACACTGCAAAGACGACAGGTTCACACTGCAAAGACGACAGGGTCACACTGCAAAGACGACAGAGTCACACTGCAAAGACGACAGGGTCACACTGCAAAGACGACAGTGTCACACTGCAAAGACGACAGGGTCACACTGCAAAGACGACAGGGTCACACTGCAAAGACGACAGGTTCACACTGCAAAGACGACAGGGTCACACTGCAAAGACGACAGGGTCACACTGCAAAGACGACATGGTCACACTGCAAAGACGACAGGGTCATACTGACTAGACAACAGGGTCACACTGCAAAGACAACAGGGTCACACTGCAAAGACGACATGGTCACACTGCAAAGACAACAGGGTCACACTGACTAGACGACAGGGTCACACTGCAAAGACGACAGGGTCACACTGCAAAGACGACAGGGTCACACTGCAAAGACGACAGGTTCACACTGCAAAGACGACAGGGTCACACTGCAAAGACGACATGGTCACACTGCAAAGACGACAGGTTCACACTGCAAAGACGACAGGGTCACACTGCAAAGACGACAGAGTCACACTGCAAAGACGACAGGGTCACACTGCAAAGACGACAGGGTCACACTGCAAAGACAACAGAGTCATACTGCAAAGACAACAGAGTCATATGCATTATTCCTGATTATTTTTTACTTTTCTGTTCTTTCATGTAAGGAAAAGAAATTTTGCAAGTTTGGTGAAAGTTCATTGTCAACTTATTTAAAATGCCAACCTGCCAACTAAACCCCAAAAACATAGGTTTGTTAGTACTTATGTGATATCTACATGTGTACTTGTAAGTTAAATCTTTAAGAATCAGGAAAGACATGGTATAGAGTGTTATATTGACATTGTTATCAGAATATGTTTCACTGGGAGTCTTTTAAGTTGTATTACACTGTAGATGATTTGTAATATATAGGGACAACCGTATTATGATATTATACAAGCCCCAATGCTATCAGGAGAGAGAGTTATTTTGTGCGAGATAACATTCACAAATATTTAGCTTTCAGTAATTCTTCTCCTATAACCAGGTTGTTTCCACAGGCAACATTATGGTTTGTGATTTCATGTCCACATTAAGAAGTTGTCGATTGTCTTTTACTGAGATTATATAGTTGCTTTGGAATCATCATGATATGGATTGATCGTAAATAATCGCAAAATGTTGACTAGTATTTGTACGTGGATCAATGTTGTGATATCACATTTAATGATAGTTCAGCTGCTTTCAGTTTTAATGCCCATGGATCAAAAGAACTGGGGGGAAAGTGTTTTCTTGTTTTCTTTTTGTCTGTTGCTAACTATAACCGTGTCCATAACTATTGCACTGTAAGAGATAGGTATTTCATATTTGGTATGTGTGTTCCTTCTTTTCTGGTAATGCCAATTTTTTTTATCATGTGACCTTGACTTTTGACCAATATTTGAAAATAATTAACAATTGCGATAGCTTTTGCACTCTAAGAGGTAGGGCTTTCATCTCTGACATATGTGTTCCTTGTGACAAGACCTTTCTGGTGGTCATGTGACCTTGACAGTTACATTGGACCTACATTTGAAAGTATGAAAAAATCATCACCATAATGTAGACATTGTTTAACAAAGTGTGCATGCAATAAACACATGCCTGCTTAGTACAGTTTTAATGTCCCATGTCAGAATTTTGTTGCTACCAGTGACATAGTGTTTCACATCTTGTTTGATCTATTTTGTGTTGAAGGATGAAGCAGGATGATAAATATGTTCAATGTATTCTTCTCATTGGTAGATTCTTTTCTTCTCATGAGATATACATATATATATATATATAGCTCAGTGAAGTGATTAACTAATGTCACTTGAAGGTACTAAGTCTTATTTCTTTTTGAATATTGTTTTATCTGAATATTTGTAGGTCATGTATGCTCTCCATTTTCAGTTTTTATAAGGTCAAAGCAGATATCCCTGTCAGCTGCCTTTAAATATTAGTGAAAATTGTCCAAGATACATAAGACAATGCATTGTAATGGTAATATTTGCTTATTACTTGGTTACTCATTTTGATGATGCTAACTAGCAAATATAACTTAAAGGGATTTTCGAGGTCATAGTAGGTCAGTCCAAGGGGTTTAAAGAGGGGCAAGAATTTATCACAGTTAGGTTAGAGTGTTTACCATTGTTTACCTTACCTGGTTAGTGTTTAACATTGTTTCACCTTACCTGGTTAGAGTGTTTACCATTGTTCCTTACCTGGTTAGAGTGTTTACCATTGTTTCACCTTACCTGGTTAGAGTGTTGACCATGGTTCACCTTACCTTGTTAGAGTGTTTACCATTGTTTTCCCTTACCTGGTTAGAGTGTTTACTATTGTTTACCTTACCTCGTTAGAGTGTTTACCATTGTTTCACCTTACCTGGTTAGAGTGTTTACCATTGTTTCACCTTACCTGGTTAGAGTGGTTACCATTGTTTCACCTTACCTGGTTAGAATGTTTACCATTGTGTCACCTTACCTGGTTAGAGTGTTTACTATTGTTTACCTTACCTGGTTAGAGTGTTTACCATTGTTTCACCTTACCTGTTTAGAGTGTTAACCATTGTTTTACCTTACCTGGTTAGAGTGTTTACCATTGTTTCACCTTACCTGGTTAGAGTGTTAACCATTGTTTTACCTTACCTGGTTAAAGTGTTAACCATTCTTTCACCTTACCTGGTCAAAGTGTTAACCATTGTTTACCTTACCTGGTTTGAGTGCTTACCATTGTTTCACCATATCTTCGTTAAGTATTTACCGTTTTTGAGTAATGCGTTACTTTACAATGTCATGTATTTAAATCCAATGAAAATAAGAATGGTATTATCTGTTACTCAATGAGTGTATTATTAAAAGGTAGAAGTATTAGATAGCATTTCTCGTATTAGTAATGTTTAATGAAATAAGTATTAATAATATCAAGATGCTCATGTTAATTTCTGTCAATGAGTCTGTTGTTATCAACTATCATAAGAGGTGTACCAAATTACTTAATCTCATGAACGTCTGTGATATATTTTTTTTTTACAATGGAATATTGCAGTATTTTACTGTGGAAATTATTCAACGTAATCCTATTTAATGATCAATGAATTTTTCATTTGTTATTAGTACATACTTACTTTTGCTTTGACAGGATTTAAATCTGTTATCATTACATTTCTTTTGCTGTCATTTTTTCTTGAGTGACACAAAGGTCTCTAATCTTAACCTGAAATGTAATAAGGGGACCAGGTGATTGTTGGGGATATAAACAGATTTAGGGTACAGTCGATGATGCTGTTGAATCTGTTTATAACATGAATTAAATTGTTTAATAAACCAGATCAAATCAGATCTTGTCAGGACATCGTTCAGTTGGGAGTAGGAATTACGGGTGAGGATCCAGATCTTCATTTGGCTGGAAATAGGGGTTCTGGGTTGAGGTTTCAGACCTTTGTTGGGGTTGGAAGTTAGGTCTGTGGTTGGAGCTCCGAGACTTTGTTTGGTCAAGAGGTAGAGTAGTATATTGGATCAGGGTTCCTAGACATTGTTGGGTCAGAAGGTAAGGTCTGGTGTCAGGGCTTCAGAGCTTCGTTTGGTTGCTATATAAGGTTTGGAGTTTGGGATCAAGGATTTTGGTGGGCTGGTAGTGGTGATTGGGAGTCGAGGTTTTAGATCTTTGTTGGGCTGGGTGTAGTGATTGGGAGTCGAGGTTCCAGATATTTGTTGAGCTGGGAGAAGGGATTGGGAGTCGAGGTTCCAGATCTTTATTGAGCTGGGAGTAGGGATTGGGAGTCGAGGTTCCAGATCTTTGTTGAGCTGGGAGAAGGGATTGGGAGTCGAGGTTTCAGATCTTTGTTTGGCTGGGAGAAGGGATTGGGAGTCGAGGTTTCAGATGTTTGTTGGGCTGGGAGAAGGGATTGGGAGTCGAGGTTTCAGATGTTTGTTGGGCTGGGAGAAAGGATTGGAGTCGAGGTTTCAGATGTTTGTTGGGCTGGGAGAAGGGATTGGGAGTCGAGGTTTCAGATGTTTGTTGGGCTGGGAGAAGGGATTGGGAGTCGAGGTTCCAGATCTTTGTTGAGCTGGGAGAAGGGATTGGGAGTCGAGGTTTCAGATCTTTGTTGAGCTGGGAGAAGGGATTGGGAGTCAAAGTTCCAGATCATTGTTGAGCTGGGTGAAGGGATTGGGAGTTGAGGTTCCAGATCATTGTTGGGTTAGTAGATAAGGTTTGGGATTAAAGTTCTAAGGATTTTGAATTGGAATTCCAGGATTTTGTTGAGTTAGATGGTAGTGTTTTGGGGCAAAGGTTGGTTAAAATCTACCCTATCGTCTCTACACTATGTATATGGTTTGATCTTTGTTAGGTTCGGAAGTAAGGTTAGGGATAGAAGTTATTCGGATTTCAAATTGAAATTCTTGGATTTGATGAGTTAGGAGGAAGGGTTTTAGGTTTGGGTTGATAATATTAACCTTGTTGACTCTCCACTTTGTAACTTGTCAGTCATCATCCGTTATATTGTAATAATTGAGGTATGTAACAATTATTACATGTTAAAATTTTTGTCTTATTTTTAAAATGGTTTTTGTTACTTTTGCTCCTTTATTTCAGTTATTTGTTTGCTATATACCATTTAAGACTGGATGAGAGCCACTTGATTATTTTCTATTTGCAAATGAATTTGTTATTAAGTTTGATTAATTCTTTTTCAGAAGTCACATGCCTCAATATTGCAGATGTTCCGTAAAATAATTATTTTCTTTGCTTCTTATCAAAAATAGGTTATATACATGTATATGTCAAAGGTAGTACATCGTATATCTACAGGCGCTTAATGAGAGCTACTTTTTATTAACATACTACATAATGTGGCAATTATTACACTGTAAATACCATTGCTTGCAATAACAGAGAGGGACATCAGATTGGTCTGAAGGTCTGCTTTATTCATACCAAGTCTTTAATATGAAATGTTAGTTGTGTATAAACATATCATGTTTTGGTTGCAACTGACAAATCACAAAAATGCTTTAGATAAAACTACGAAATGTCGAGTGACGTGACATTAACCTAAGTATTTACCATTGAAAATGACGTCCTACATTTAATTGCATGTGATGTAGTAGAGTACATTAATGATAACAAATACATGAGTTGTCTTGTAAATCTACATATAACACCAAAATGTTCATGAAGACACCCACATGTAATTGTGAAATGACATTTATATTCGATATGTTTGACACAAGTTGGCTGGCAAATGCACCCGAAAATGATAAGAAGCAATGTTTTTTATTTACATTTGTACATTGATTATTAACCAAAAATGTATATCCTTTTTACCTAATAAGTTTAGAAATGTTCAGTATGGAATGAAATGAGACGAGATTACTTAATAAACATGATTACCTTGGGCTAAATTGAAGTTGTTTCTTCCATGTAAAATGTATATAGCTACGCTATGGCGGCTGTACGTCGTGCATTCATCAACCTTTTTCTATCGATCATTTGTAATCCCTACGATGAAGGAATTAGGATTTAATTAAGTCATGAGAAATGAGACTTATTCAAGGAGACGGAGTGTCGTATACGCAGTTGTTTTGAAGTCCCGGAACAGAATGGGCGAAGGGGGTATGGACAATAAGTAAGATCGTAATTCATTTCACTTTCCTGCACGTGCTCATAAAAGGGTTGCTATCCGATCGGGAGTCGCTTCTGTATATAAGAATAATCAAACTTTTGTAAAAATCCTGTTAAGATTTACTTCCGCTAGACTTTCATGACCAATCGAAGCCATGCCGAACGGAGATTCGCAAAAACAAAAGTTTAGTTTAGTTTATTTCATTACCAGTGCAGGATCGTTATGATCTTCTATACCGGTCTCAGTGATACAATGATAATGTTTGTAATTATTGTTATTTGAGACGTCAGATCCAGGAACTAAAGAATTTCTTATTTATAATTATATACCAGTTCTTGATTTGCCCAGAGTTCATCTAATCTATTTTTGAAAGAGTTAACTGTTGGTGCCGATACAATATACTCCGGAAGATTGTTCCATATTTTGACCACACGCAAAGTAAAAGAATGGTTCCTGATGTCAAGTTTACAGTGCTGCATGTAAAGTTTTTAGGAGTGACCCCTTGTCAGCTGAATTTGAACTTTGTCGATCCACAATTTAAGGAAACCAGCAGCGTTACTATCACAAAAACTGTTCGTAATTTTGAAGACTTCAATCATATCCCCCCGAAGGTGGGAGAATCCAAATTTTAGAAAACATAGAAAAATTGTTTTCGATATTACATTCAGATTCGAACACGGTATATTTGCTATTTTTTGCTTTAACTTCCAATTATCTGTGGACTTTCAATATTTGTTCTGATCAAAAGTTCGTCTAATTTGTTCCTCAGCTGATCGACGTTGGTGTATAAACACTTTAACGACGAGTTGATTTCCTTCCTCTTTCCCCGCCCCGATTTCCCCTTACAATTAATAGACTGAAAACCGAAAGAAGAACACATGGCATATATTCCAGTCCACAGAATGGCGTTATCCAATGGGGGGAATTTACAAAAAAAAGTCTTGCTTTTAAGGAAGAAAGGATTTATTTTCAAATGATTATGATATATTAAATTGATTTAACAGTTCATCCTTAAAAGCCTTCTGTGATCTTTAAAGCGCGTAATAAACAGATATTTGTTAAAACACATATGGGATCAGAAAATCAAAAAAGATATTTCTGAAGGAAAGATTATGTCGGAATATATGCTTAATGTTCATGTGAGTAATGAATGTCATGTGTGTTTATTTATATTTGTACGGAAGTAAAGCCGCTTTTCTATTGGTCGATACTCTGGATAGCATTAATCACGGTAAGCTTATCAACAGTTATAAATTCCTTGAATGACTGCTATCGTGTTTACTATACATGGCATTGCTATGTATAGTGTAAACTTCTCGTGTCGGTAAGTTTCCCAGGTAAACCCAAAGGTTACAGTTTTGATTAAAGAACATACATCCCAAAAATCTAAAGTTGCGTATAATTCATATTAGAATGAATTGATTTTTTTTACTTGTTTGGCGCCGAAGGATGATTTTTGTCGTGTTAAAGGACTCTCGGTGATTAAATATCCCATTTTCAAAACCAACACAAAAATTGATAATATTAAAACACTTGTGAATAAAAACTACGATTTTCGTTTAAAAATAGTCGACTGGAGTCAATTAAGAAGTAAAAAGCAAGCAAGCAACAAAATAAAATATTAACGAACGTTATAAAGCACACGCTCGATTGGCCCTTCTAAATTACTGAAAAGATATGAAAATCCTAAGTAGTTTTGATTTACAGATCTATGTAATATTCCATATAGCCGGACGTGAGCAAGCAGGACCTACTTCCGTAAAGAATAATTTCCGCATCATTTTCCATTTGCGCTATTTACGTCTGTAAGTGTGACAGATCTATACCGAGTTTGTTGTTGGGCGATGTTGAATCAATATGGCGTTCGCTTCAAGTTCGTCCTGCTCCCCTTTGGACATATATCTGAATAATATCGACACATACAAGGTCATAGTAGCGACATCCACGGTACGTATCTATATTTTGAAGAAAAATTTACTTTTGTAGTATATATAATAAATTGCATTATACACCCAACAGTGACCCGGATGTATAAATAAGTTGGATGTTTGATATAGGGTGTATACTATTTTTTATCCAGTCCTGTAAAGTCAAAGACGTGCTGATAAGGAAATTAAAAACTGACAGAAAACATAGGAAGACTTAATTTTGTTTCGCCTTCGACACAAGTTGCAAAAGTGAGTTGATAGTGATAAATTTTCTTCCGGCGGTGACAATGGCGGTGTTAACATAACACGCTAGAAATAAGTTTGAGGTTTTGAACCATTGCTCAAAAAGTTTAAGTTCGGCTTAAACAAAACCTGAATTAGTGTATGGGGAATAAAACATAAGGACTCAGGAAAGGATATGACCAGATATTTAGGAACAGTAAGGATCTTCCGCGACAGTCTTGATCGATTTTATTGAACACAAGCAATTGAACATCGAATCAATTGCGGCATGTATAGTTCATAAGTTGAGGGAGCACGGATGTTAGAAACTACTTCACAAAAAGGAAGTCGCAACCATCAGTTTTATCATACAGCGTAAAAGAAAATTGTATTTGTTAGTTTCATAGAGGTGAATGGATAATGTTGTATAAAAGGCACTGCTATGTCTTTGATTTCCAGTTTTTGTGCTTGTTTACGATGGATATGGTAAATGGATTTCTGGTTATTTTAAAGGCGAACTTAAGGTAACTGAAACATTTTTGTTTAGCTCTTCGATAACTTCAGTAGCATACACTCTTTTGTTAAGGAAAAACATCCAAAAGATACTTTACATTGACCTTCTCTACTCAGTATTGTTTCTGTATGTCGCTGAGATATTGGGTCAGTGCGTAAACAATTGTTTTTATCGTTATTTCCTTAGAAGTATAGGATGGATCTTTCTTAATTTTCATTTGTAGTTTCTCTTTGTTCCTTAGTTGTGCCAATTTGGTTTTTGGTCTGAACAGAAAAATAAATGGCAGACAGGTGGCCATCTTGGATTTTGACATTGCAAGATTATTGCTGCTATTTCTTAAGAAGGACTGGGTGGATCTTTCTCAAATTCCATGTGTAGTTTCCCTTTGTTCCCATGTTGTGCCAACTTATTGTTGATCTGATTAGAAAGGCAATATGGTCGACAGGCGGCTATCTTGGATTTTAACTTTGAAAGCTATCTTTATTTCTTGAGAAGTATAGAATGGATCTCTCAAATTCCATGCGTAGGTTCCCTTTTATCTCTAGTTGTGCCTGTTTGATTTTGGGACTGATCAGGAAAAACCATTTTGGATTTGGAAGTTTAAGATTATTATCGCTATTTCTGCAATGGAATGTTTAAATTTCTTATAATTTAGAGCAAAAACAAAGAAGAGAAAAGAAGGGAAAGATCAGTCTTTCAAAGACAAATAAAGATAGAAAAAATAGGACGCCTCTGTGATCTCTAGATAGATAATTGATCCGAAATATCGGCAGAAGAAAACAATGTCACATTATGAATCAATTTTAAATTGAATAGAAATTGGATATAAATGCTTCCTGTCTATCATGTTTAGAATAACGCCGAGAAGCTGCCCGACGATTCCCAATTTATTCCGTTGATTGAAGAGTGTTGTTTTAACGTCGTGAACGCCACCTACCGACACAGACATGTGGACCAAGTAGCAATAATCTTGTTCCGGTGTCCAATTACAGGTAAGTTTCGAATACTAAGTAGTTTGTAATATTCGCAGAATTTTCAATATCGGTATGATTGCTGTCATTAAAGAGTACGGTGCGTTATAAACCTGCAAATATTTTACACAGAATAAAACATCAGGAAATTTCTGCTGTGTGCCTGTTTCCATGGATACGTTCGTAAACGCGCGCGTGAAATTTCATTCCCGTTAACTTGCTTAATTGGGAAAACCGAAAAATGTCGGCCCCACGAAATTGAAAAAAAAACCCAAATAATCCTATTGCGGAAATTGTTTGAACTTGTGAAACCTTTCCTCACTTCATATTGTAAAGCACTCCAGTTTGTGATCATTTTACGTAGGTTGTGGCCTAGATAGTCCCAATTTATCGAGTTTCGTGCTATCATTATAGATAAAGAAACACCAAAGTCCTTATTCAAAATAAGATTTTTCAACATGTTTTTGACCATGTCATATAAACGCCTGTTAGAATAAATTGAGTTTTTTTTGCTATTCTTATTCTCAGATATTACAGAATGTGAAAACGAGTTGAGAAGCAGAACACAGAACGTGTTTATATCTAAACTTGAGTCTCGTCCTTGTGGAGTTGTTGTGGTAAACAGTGATATCATCGATCGTGTGCGACTCAACACGTATATACACAGCCGGAAATCTGGAATAGGGCCAGACGCTAGGCCTGTAGTTGTCGATGAAGGAACGTTGCTGATTGTAAGGATAGGGAGGAACATACAAAAAGGTATGTGTTTTTCTCTTGTTGTATTCTTATAGATCAAGATGTGTATAACGGTTGAAGCAGCAAGAAAACGCTTAGCCTTCCGGAACACGTTGTTTGAATATCTCAGTACGTTTTAAATGGTCTTCGTATTAATATCCCTTCTGTTCATAGTGAGTCGTGTTTTATCTATTGTGAGTTTAAAGAAAATGCTTTGTGAATACACTGTCATTATCTTGTTGTTAGCTATTTCATTCATCGCTAAAACTTCTACCGCGCATAGCTCATAGAAGATCGCAGATAAAACGATATCCTTTGTCTAGTTATTTCTTTAGGGCGAACAAAGTTAATTCATTAAGAGTCACATACCTAATTCAGAACGTAGATACAACAGCATGCATTGACTCGCTCTTTCCACCGGACGTACAGTTATTTCTTTAATAGTAAAGGACCTACTTCAGAGCGCAGATTCTTTCGACCGTTCCATTTGTAAGTGTCAAGGACCTACTTCAGAAAGCAAATACACGGGACCGATTCAAGCGTCCTTTCTTTCGGCCGAACCATTGTGTTTCTTAACGAGTCAGGGACCTACTTCAGAACACAGATGCGACGGCACCCATTGACTCGTTCTTTCTTTTGGTCGAACCATTGTGTTTCTTAACGAGTCAGGGACCTACTTCAGAACACAGATGCGACGGCACCCATTGACTCGTTCTTTCTTTTGGTCGAACCATTGTGTTTCTTAACGAGTCAGGGACCTACTTCAGAACACAGATGCGACGGCACCCATTGACTCGTTCTTTCTTTTGGTCGAACCATTGTGTTTCTTAACGAGTCAGGGACCTACTTCAGAACACAGATGCGACGGCACCCATTGACTCGTTCTTTTTTTTGGTCGAACCATTGTGTTTCTTAATGAGTCAGGGACCTACTTCAGAACACAGATGCGACGGCCTCCATTGACTCGTTCTTTCTTTTGGTCGAACCAATGTGTTTATTTTAAGAGTCAGAGACATATTTCAGAACACAGATATGATATGCCCGTTGACCCATTATTCTTCTGGGCGTGCACTTGCAACAGCCTAATGAGGTATCAGTCCGGACTATACAATTCGATTATGTCTCGCACCACAGATATATTACGGTTAATACTGTTTATTTACAAAATCAATCGTTTGACATTGATTTTCTCATCTGTTTCAGTGTTACAACAAGTATTTTCCCGGTTTCACTCCGTCTCTGGCCAGCCTGTTTACTTTCAACCATACTTTCCATGTTTTCATGATACGGTTATAGAACTTCTGAGAGTCGGTGACTCCCTTGAAGCCACCACATATCCAGGAACACCGTATCCGGATACGGAAAATGACCCCTTGTCATCTTATCTGGATTCTCGTGGGCGTGATGGGTCATATTACCCGAGGAATGGCAGTCGTGATCGTTCCTATTCCCCAGGGAATTCTGGGCGTGACCTGTCTTGTTCTTGGAATGGCAGTCGTGATCGTTCTTATTCCCCAGGGAATGGCGGGCGTTATCATTCATTTTCCCCTGGGAATGTTGGGCGTGATTGTTCATATACCTTGGGGAATAGCAGGCGTTATCGGTCTTATTCCCCAGTTAATTCTGGGCGTGACCTGTCTTGTTCTTGGAATGGCAGTCGTGATCGGTCTTATTCCCCAGGAAATGGCAGCCGTGATCGTTCTTATTCCCCAGGGAATGGTAGTCGTGATCGTTCTTATTCCCCAGGGAATGGCGGGCGTTATCATTCATTTTCCCCAGGGAATGGCGGGTGTGATCGTTCTTATTCCCCAGGGAATGGCGGGCGTGATCGGTCTTTTTCCCCAGGGAATGGCGGGCGTGATCGGTCTTTTTCCCCTGGGAATGGTTGGCGTGATCGGTCTTATTCCCCAGGGAATGGCGGGCGTGATCGGTCTTATTCCCCAGGGAATGGTAGTCGTGATCGTTTTTATTCCCCAGGGAATATCAGGCGTGATCGTTCTTATTCCCCGGGGAATATCAGGCGTGATCGGTCTTATTCCCCTTGGAACGTTAGCCGTGATCGTTCATATTCCCCTGGGAACCACAAACTGGATTATTCCCCTCGGAAAGAGGAGAGTAACTATTCATATCCTCCTGAAAACGGAAGAGGTAACGGTTCAGATTCACCATACGAACCATCCAAACCCGAGGGGAATGGAAAAAGAAAGTCTTCTTGCTTTTCGTCGGAAGACGGAGGAAATGAACGACGGCACAATCATTCACTTGACAGGAAAGGACATGACCGAGCCAAGGGGTCTGACACTAGAGCCCGAAGCGGTCACAGTCGACCTGACGCCGTTGGACATATGGATTTGAAGAAATTTAATGCTCGAGATGATGACAAAAAGGAAACCATCAAAATAGATACGTCGTTAATATGGGCCGATGGTAAGCACCTCAATGAACATTTCTTCACTTTTAAGACAGGAGAAGTTCCCCCAATGAAAATTAGTTCTGTACGACATATGTAAGATTTGAAAAAGTTCTTTTGTATTCCTGTTAAATAAACGTCAATAATATAACTATATTTTCTAACAAACTTTTATGTAACAGTATGCAGTCCAGTAGTTCATAGATTGTCATCACGCAGCTCCTAGAACTCACTAAGGAGTAGCATGGGCGGTTAGATAGGATATGCAAAACTCACTTAAATCTCAATAAATGACGCATTTCTTTGCAGACGAAGAAAAAAATATTGTTGCAGTGTGTCTGGAATCTTCCCTTGGCAAACAGTTCATTACCCATTTCCAGAAAGATGAGGACTGCGAAATCGACGTCAAATTTAAGCAGAAACCGATAAAAAAAGTCAAGACCACTGGCAGATCGGACGACTCCTCTGGGTAGGTGTTCCCATTGTATATTATGGACCGAGACATAGTGAAATACAACGTTAGCGATTCAAACGCCCCGATGATCATGATTTAACACATAAACATATGATTGGAAGTGGAATACTTAAAAAAACATTTTCGAGAATTATGAGGTGGGTTTACAAATTACAATTTCTGTTCAGTAAGATTGCCTCGCAAATATATGCTTAATTCATTGTTGTTTGCACCACATTATTTTTAAATAGGGTATTTTGTACTTGATACACGCATGCAAATTACCGTGTTTATCATGTCTGCCATGTTTTCTATTACTTGACCGCAGACGTAACTCTTTCAGAAAAGCCAGATGTTTTGTTATCCCGAAGTAAACAAACACATAGAAGTGTACCCAATTTACGACAGATAACCATCAAACAGATATATAAAGCATTGGACTGACGAAAGCATGGGCATCTTATGCTTATTTTGCCTTTGCAGTTTAAAGGTATACCAAAATAACATCGGGGCTGCCCTTATGCTTGGATTGCTCAATCCAGTTCTATCCATGGAACCTCTTGATAATGAAATCGCCCATATACTTCAAAAGAAGCCAGAAAGACAATCACATTCACGGCAAACAACTCGATCAGATTCCATTGAAGTCAACGGTACTAAGCTGTCTATCAAAAAAGGAGATGTCACTTGTGAAAAGGTAGGGGAATAGCTTTAATAATACATTTGTTATTTAAGGAGATTGTTATATTTATACCCGAGATCATCTAAAGAGTAAATAAACTCTTATTTGGCTGATCTAATGAAACTTAGACTAGCAATTTTCACTGCTCTGTGATTCTTTACGATGTTGCAGTATTTGCTTCCTTACTAGTAAGCAAATGCACTTTTATTTATGACAAAAACCACAGTGTTATTTTCCTGACAGGTAAGCAAATGCACTTTTATTTATGACAAAAACCACAGTGTTATTTTCCTTACTAGTAAATAAATGCACTTTTATTTATGACAAAAACCACTGTGTTATTTTCCTTACTGGTAAGCAAATGCACTTTTATTTATGACAAAAACCACAGTGTTATTTTCCTTACTAGTAAGCAAATGCACTTTTATTTATGACAAAAACCACAGTGTTATTTTCCTTACTAGTAAGGAAATGCACTTTTATTTATGACAAAAACCACAGTGTTATTTTCCTTACTAGTAAGCAAATGCACTTTTATTTATGACAAAAACCACAGTGTTATTTTCCTTACTAGTAAGCAAATGCACTTTTATTTATGACAAAAACCACAGTGTTATTTTCCTTACTAGTAAGCAAATGCACTTTTATTTATGACAAAAACCACAGTGTTATTTTCCTTACTAGTAAGCAAATGCACTTTTATTTATGACAAAAACCACTGTGTTATTTTCCTTATTGGTAAGCAAATGCACTTTTATTTATGACAAAAACCACAGTGTTATTTTCCTTACTAGTAAGCAAATGCACTTTTATTTATGACAAAAACCACAGTGTTATTTTCCTTACTAGTAAGCAAATGCACTTTTATTTATGACAAAAACCACTGTGTTATTTTCCTTACTGGTAAGCAAATGCACTTTTATTTATGACAAAAACCACTGTGTTATTTTCCTTACTGGTAAGCAAATGCACTTTTATTTATGACAAAAACCACAGTGTTACTTTCCTTCATAGTAAATAAATGCACTTTTATTTATGACAAAAACCACAGTGTTACTTTCCTTCATAGTAAATAAATGCAGTTTTTTATGTAAGAAACTAAATGTTAATTATCAGGATATGCTCATGTATTAGGTCGCTTGTTTTCAGAATACTAGATTTCAGGGATATTTAACACAAGTGAGTGTTTCCCGAAGAATTCTTCTTTTCTTCGGACAAGGAACTCTTATGTTCCATTTTTATGTGGAGATTCACATGCGTACATATACCATATGAATTCCTTAGTCCGTAATCCATTTTTATTGTCAGGCGGATGTCATGGTGAGTGTTGTTAGTGAAACCTTGGAAATCAATGAGGGCTTGATATCTCGTGCATACGCCAGGAGAGGAGGCGACGAACTCACTCAGGTTATGTATAGAGAAATTCATTCCTGCTCTTAAACTGGGTACTGGTAGTATGTTATAAACTGTTTGTGTTGATGCTGGCTCCATGACATCTAAACTTACAAATGATGAAAATTAAAGGTTATCAACATGGCTCAATCAAAATTAATGCAATGATGAACTTGCGTATCCACAATTATAAGTTTATAATAAAGAACAGAAACTCAGCAAGCACAATCTTACTTCAAAGTAATATGTTTTGCGCTGTAGGCCCCAAAATAATACTTCTAAGGCATGTATGATGACAGTAATATTTTTGTGTTTTAGAATTATGAGGTCGCCAAACAAATGTATGATGACAAAGGAATCATTATATGTGACGGTGGCAAGTTGCCCTGTAAGAACCTGACCACAGTTGTACTTAAACCACGACAGGACTCATCTTCTGACCAGGTGATACTTCTCAACAACGTCTAATATCAAATACCGACATATTGACAAAATTGACAAAAATATACAATCTAAAAACCAAGAAATAAAGAAAATTTAAATTAAGGAACAATTGAAATGAACACATTTTGTACATTTGTAGTTTTACAAGTGAAATATTTAGTAATTGTGTTCATGGTTTTTTACTTTCAGAACTTTTCTCTTATCATAGAATCAGTATTTCAAAAGAGTGCACACCTTGGGTTTGAAACGATCGTCTTACCTGTGATGGGTTGTGGAAAAATGCTTCAGTACCCTCTCGATGTAGCTATTGCTGTTACCATTGATACCTGCATTAAATTCTTAAAAACAGCCGACAATAAGTTCAAGGTTTGTACAGTTATTTTTCTTCTACTGGATACAGACTAGAAATGCTGTTTAGGTGTAATCAATATGGAAGTTGTTAGGACTGCGGTAACGCTCGGGCGACCGTTCATGGAAGAGATATAATATTGGTTGAAAATGTGTTGTAAAACAACTTCTCTGGCCCTAATTTGAATTCTACGTAAAGCAATGTTGATTGCTGTGAACTTGACGTTTTCATGATGATTTCAAGTATTCTCCAGTGATAATTTTTCATTACATCATGAAACACTCATGCTTTAAAAACGTCAATGACTTGTGATCAATGCGCCTGCTTTCCTAAATACATTCCATTTTGTTCGGGATTTTCTTTTCTAAATATGTCTCACGGAGTCCTTTATATTTACAGAAAATGAAGATTGTGGCGTTCGATGACAAAGCCTATAAGGAACTGGCGAAAAAATTACGTAAGATTATTTAGTGTAGAAAACTATTCGCAAGCTTAACTTAATTTAAGGCCAATTTGTGCCTTACGAATGTGACAAGCACATCTATCCTAATCTATGCTTATATCACCGTGAACAGGACGAAATTTGGCATTGTAAATCGTTTGACTATGAAGCTTAATGTTGTTGATATTCAATTAATATTTTTCTATTGGCACCATTTTTTGCCTTAGGATACGATAACCTCATCTATTTCAATTTATGTTTATATTGCTGTGAACAGAAAGCAAAGGGACGTCATCACAGAAGACACAAGAAGCTTCTAGTAGGTCTCAGTCCTCCAAAGAGTTATGCTCGATAAGCCTGTCTGCGTGTGGCAGCCAGAAGGTAAAGAGGTTAGCACAAGAACTGACCCGCGCTATAAAAGCTAACTTTCTGTCTTCCAAATATGTCCCAATCCCTTCCAGTATCTCCATACGGATCAAGACGAAGCTGTATATGATTGCCGAGAAACATACAAAGATGCCCATGAAAATGGAGTTTGGTAGGTTCTTATATGTCGGACTTACTGCTATTTTAACAATAATAACGAGTTATTTCTATAAGAATAGCTTAAAGAGATAACACATATTACACGGAATAAACAAGGTATTGCTTAAATTGTTAACAATATGTTAAGACTTTAATCGGATGGGTAAGAATTTGTATTATGTTACATTTCTAGATCAATCAGGAAGAGGTGTTTTACTAACGGGAGAGATGTCACAAATGACAAAGGTGGCAAACGATTTAACGAGGATGTTGTCAATAAGGGATATATCTGGAATAAGGAAGAGATTGCGGTGTTCCCCTTCCAGCTGGTACAATTTGGCACACGATAACCCCATCAGCCCTCCATATTGGTCTAACTTTAAAGCTAATACCCCTTTGACAGTTCTCTCCAAAAATAGTAGATCAACAAAACGATGGGCGTTAGTTCCCGCTGATGAGCCTACTAGAAAGGCAGTCCGTGCATTGGTCGAGGATACTTGGGACGAAAAACTCGTGGGGCAGGGACGCGATGCCGTCAATCTTAGTCACAGACGAATTAAGGTGGAAAAGGTAGAGCGTATCGAGAACATTGATGTGTATAATAAATATGCCACAAGACGTCTTGACCACTTTCGAATGCTGGCAGAAGAGGGATCAAAAGTTTTGAAATCACTCGAGGACATGCATGTACAAAACAAAGGCAAAATAGCAACAACACCAAAAGATGGGTCTGTGCTTTATGAGGATATGTTCCCAGAGATAAACGAACACTACTTCTTCCACGGCACGAAATCCGAGGTCGTTCAGACAGTTCTTCGTCAGGGATTAGACTGCAGGATGAGCAATGAGAAAGCAATGCTTGGTCTTGGAATATACGGTGCTGAAACGTCAACGAAGGCGGACCAATACGCAGGTAAAACATTACCTTTAGGTTATCTCCTATCCAGAGAGAATGTTTTAGGATACATACTGACTTTGTTAAAACTTCGAAGTAAAAAAAGTATAATAATGATCCGTTTTGATACGATTTAACTTGTTTTAAAACAGACTCATGTTGATAGGACTTCGATACAGAAATGGTATTTTACGATCATCGCACATTGATAATAAAGTTGGTGAAATGAATTACCATACGAAATGATCTTCAATGTTTAGATTAAAACAAAACTACAACGGTTGTCTTAAAGATTGTTTACCGCAAAAATGACATTTCCGTTGTGGATTTTCTTATGGGCTAACGCGCGTTTCTGAAATGTAAGTTCTGTAAAATATGCTGTTTACAGATTTGTAAACAACGAAAAAGAAGATTATTTCTCAAGAAAAGTAAACGTATTTTCATTGATTTACCATCTGTCAAACTGTTCGTATTGGCCGATATGTTTATTGAACACTATGCCAATGAAGGCTGCTTTTGTTTTTGTTTACTTATCACTAAATGTACTTTATTGCCATAGTTACTCATCACACCTCTGAATAACAATATTTCTTTGATATATATATTTGAAACTGACTTGTAATGCAAAGCATTAATGTGATTGTGATTAACATCTATGTATCATTTGTTTTAGATAATAAACTGCAGAGGACTACAGGATCCAAGAAAATGTTGCTGGTTCGAATGTTGCTAGGCAACATGTTCGTATGCAAAGACCATAACCCGATGAAGTATCGCCGACCGCCGTGTCGGAATACCAGTTGTCTTCGAGACAATTGTACGAGCGGCCATGGTCAGTTCGATTCTGTCGTTGGAGATGGACATTGGCTGTTTCGGGAGTTTGTAGTATATTCTGCTGACCAATGCTACCCAGAATATCTTATTACTTACCGCAGAGAATAGAGTGATTTTAATATGGAATTCTAATATTCAGAACACTTTTATTAGAATATATCGGTTTCTGATTACAGAGACTGAAATGTAGGGTATTCGTTGTGAAGGTCACCAAAACATACCTTAAGAAATATCTAGAAGAATACCTTTAACAAAACACTCACACACACACACACACACACACACACACACACACACACACACATATATATATATATATATATACTGTGACTTCTGACTTCGAACGTGACACTTTTTATACATGGCCAGGCATCGAAGCGTGACAGATGCGTTCTTCTTTGTATCCCAGGTAAAGACAGCAGTACCGAAAGGTACACCAGTATCCATACTTAATTAATCAAACCTTAAATGTATGATACTTCCCGAAACCACATAATATTTTTAAACACTCAAATATGCCCTAGGACATATAATGATGTAACAAATAGCACACTGGAACCAAGTCTTCTTTAACCTTGAATTACACTAAAATTGTATGTCCATTGGTTGAAAAGTTTTATTTTTGATGTAAAGAGTCACATCTTAAGATGCGCTTTACCGAAGTTGTAATTTGATATGATAGGATGACGCTATTTTAGAGTCAAAGACTCCAATACTAAAGCTTTGTTGTCGTTGCAACTGGTGTTACACATTTTTTCAGTGATGGAATGTTCTTTGTGTATGTTGTGTAACGGCTGATTACGGATTATAAACACAAAAAGTATGGATTAAACACATCGATTTGCAATTCCGACAGCAGTTATCAGTGACAGTCTAAAATGGTGCAAAAATCCCTACATTTGATTGTTGTTTTAATTCATGTAGCAATTTGTGTTGAAGGATGCAAATCAGGTAATCATTATCATAGATCAAATTGCAAGCCTTATTTTAAAGATTTACTACCTCTGTTTTGGCTGAACGACACCCTTTGACAGTATTGCGCCATTTTCCTGGATCAAAAGTGCTGGCCATGCAGTAAAGTCAACTGTAGTTCCATTACGTGTAAACCCGATATAGTACTTTGAATCGAAAGAGTCTTCCTCTCCGGCCCACTTAAACACCAATGGAGGATCCTGTATGTTCATAAGCCACGTGAGAGAAACACACTGCGCCGCAAGTTCGTTTACCATTCGCGATCTCGTGTTGAAGATATTTTCCATATTTCGGCAGCATTCTTACAATAAGATATGTATTACATTTACATGATAAGAAAAAGAAAAACAGAAAAATTGTGGTATTCGAGATTAAATACAATTATAATCTGCCATCCTGGAAGATTAAAAGGTATTCCAGAATTTTGTTTAAGATTACTTTAACAGAAATAAGATATACTATATTTTCTGAAATGATATATAAGGAAAATCACATTGTGAACTTTATTTGATTTTACGCAGTACATAGTTAATAAGAGGCTTGAGAATTGTGCCACCTCTGTCACAACCTAATAATAATTTGCATTTTCAATTGAAATAAATTTTAGAAAAATACTGTATACTTTGTTCTAAATCGAATGTAGCAGAGCATTGATAACTTGATGCTGTTATGTACAGTTCTAAAAGAGGGAATCGCGGACATGCTTACTTGGATGGTATACTTTCTTAACAAATCTTTCTCGAAATGGATAAGATGCTATTAGACATTATTTCATGATATGGTTAATGTTATCAGATGGTGATAGAGGTTATATCAAAACACTTTAAGAAAAAAAAACCCTAACAAGTAAGTATTCCAAATTGTTGCACATGTGTATATTACTTCGCTTTGTGGGTACTTCAAAAAGTTTTATTTGTTCGATTTATCTCCCCTTATGAATCCTTTTTAAGTTTTGAAACGCAAGTTAATATCAGTAACTAACATAACTAATCTCGCGGACTGTTTTCCGTAGATCTACCGTAATAGTAATAATCGTACGTGACCTATTGATTGTTACTGTTAGCAGGTGTTAACATTGAGAAACATCAAGATATTTAATCGAAAGTACTGTGTATGAATCGGCATTCTCTAGGGATATGCGTTCAATTTACGAGAATCTCAATAGTACTACAGTGAATTCACGAGGTCTTGATTAGGTATAATTGTCAAGTGACATAGTGTTGTGATGTTGAAGACCTGTTGATTTTCGTAAAAAAAAAAACTTACCCGAGGAAGAGTCGTCTACACCGCAGTTTATATGTTTTTAAGTTAAATTTAAACACTTTCTTTTATTTGAAAAGAATTATTCAAATAATTGAATTTGACATTAGATTTGCTTCACGACGGAATTTCAAACACAAAGTGTGTAATTAATGACGTGAATATCAATGGTAAATTAATTTGTCGATTACGACTTTTGTGTTGTTACCGCATTTCAATATATTTGCTAATTGATCAAAAACCAGTACGAGTTAAGAGCAAGGGACGTTATTTGATAACATGATATGACTTACTTGGAATGACAAAGGTTTACCTGGCAGGTGTCGTCGGTGAAGCAGAAGACGCTTAGTCTTCTGAAACACCAATTTTTATTCTCTTTGTACTTTTTACAGGAATCTTGTGAAATCTTCTTTTTGTTCATATTTTGCCCTAGTTTTATGGAATCTGAGTTTGAATTACGATAATGTTGCCATGTTGGTATTTTCTTGATGTTTTTAGTTTAATCAGTTGTTTAAGCTAATTTTCAAGTATTATGAAACCAGCCCCGTGTCCGTCCCATTAGGACGTTCTTCAGCTCAGATTATTAATACCTTTTGAACGGATGGAATAGACACTTCTGCATTCTCTTTTCTGATCACGTGGACGTGTCTCAAGATAGACTCCATGTCATACTTTTCATCTTCGGTAGGCTGTAGAAAACAATTTACAATATAGCATTCGCATCGAAAGTATTTACTGTATAATAATATAATAGTGTAATTGTTCTGGTGTTTTAACTGAAGCAAGAATTCCATTGTACATGTAAATTGTCTATGTGTACTTGTACCAGTGGTTTTATACACTATATATCAGACATATTACCATTGATAACAAAAAACAATGACATTGAATTTTCAGTTTACTTTATTTCTTACATGAACTCTTTGTTTATAAAACAAAGTATATGTGTATATATATATATTTTTTTTTGTATGATACGACAGTCACGGTCATCTGTGTGCTAGTGTTTGATTCACTACGCAGTTGCTGTATAAGGCTAATTATTTCAGCGTAACATGCGTACGCGTACTTTTTTAATGTCTACCACCATTCACATCTCCTTACAGCCTATCCGGTTTTTGTTCTAGATCTGTTTGCGGCGATTTATATAGACAGTCGCTTCCCCAAGTGTTATGTTTAGTAAGCTGAAGCATGTACCAATCCCCAACCCCCCACCCCCATTCATATTAGTCGATAGATGTGACATTGTCGCTAACTCCCAACGTCTGTGTGTAACATAAGACTGTATATATATATATATATATATATGCATATTCAACTATAAATGTAATACCATATTGGCTGATGGCTATACATGTACACTGTATATCGAACTTCTCTCATGGATGCCCTACGTACCTTACCCCCCCCCCCCCCACACACACACACATGAACGTACAGTCATGTTCAATAGTCAGTACTAGTCTGCTACTCTGATTCGTCACCTGTTCATAGGCCTAACTTAAGAACAAAGAAATAATTCCCTCCACTACATACAGTACCTCACTTTTCTTCTCTTATGTTGTTATCTCTCGCTCCTCACTGTTAAAATCCCACTAAGTGATGTAAATAGTTTGACACAAGTTAATGTAAAACACGTGTCTTGTCCCAAACTCGTAGCCCTTATAGCGAATCTATCAGTAGATTTTCGAACCAATATTCCTAGTGAATTCAATGCCTTCCCAAACCGTTTGAATCGCTCGTGGCCTATCTAATGGTAAGCATGCAGGACTTCCGGTTATATTCTCAGTCACCTAGATGTTTTGATAGAATATATTCCTTCATTTAGATGTTATGATTTTATTATACCATGACTAGCTCTCCCCCCGCATGGACCTATGATGCTACTGATCTTGGTATTTGTTTTCATCTTATGTTGTTTTTCTTCCATTTGTTCTTGTTTCTACTATGTTTTCAGAATATAAACAGATATACATGTCCATCACCTGTTAGATATTTACAACTGCGGCATTACCATCTTTACATTCTGCTTATCCATGTCACTCGATGCTCTACACTGATCACACACCATTCTACTTCTAGCGCATTTATGATTTTTGATAATAGCTAAATGTATTGAGCCTTCCTGTACCAGTGGAGCATCGAGTGACTTGGTAAATCATCCCGGTGTCGTTTATGATTCTCTGACATTTTGTTCTTTAAATGTTCTTTTTTTATTGTCGGTACATGTATATAACTTAGGCAACCGCTATTGACACGTACGTGGCAATAACTGTACCGGCTATTACCACGTATTTTTAGAAATGACGCATGCGCACATCGATGTCAAAAAAAAATAAGTGGCACAAGGTAAACTGTCATGGCTGCCGTGTATGATATACGTTACTTGTATTGGAGTTAAATAATGATGTTTCGTGATAAATTTAACTAGTTTTGTGACATTTTATGTAATGCACGATGTTAATATGATGCATATGAGTCAAGTTATGTATTTATATAGTGATGACAATACTTGATTTCTGTGACAGAGGATCGTATTTGTTGCTTGAAGCTGTTGGTTTTTGTGCCACGTAAATTACGTGTCGCAGTTCAACAATGTATAATGAACAATTTTCTCTCCAATATACTTCGACTGATGAAATATTTGTTGTAATCATTATCAAAGTTAATGTGCAATGGAGGATATTTATTTATATAGCGATGGCAATACTTGATTTCTGCAATAGAAGATCGTTTTTGAAGCTGTAGGTTTTGTGCCACGTAAATTACTTGTCACAGTTCAACAATGTATAATGAAGAATTTTCTCTCTAATATATAGTTGGACTGATGGAATATTTGTCGAAATCATTATCATAGTAAATATGTTCAATGGAGGATATTACTGGATTATTTTTTGTCGTGTAACTTTGACTGAATTTTTGTACAAAATTTCCCCTCTGACACAGTTCAAACTTGCTTGACTGTGACACGTAAAATCTGTCTTTTTGCATCTACAGTATATATGTAGCAATAGCAGCTAATTAATAGCTTATTACTTGTTTCAAAAACATGGATGTAGATTCTACTTATATTAATTTTGAATTTGATTTTAAAATTTCTTTTCCTTTTCTTCATATAATTGTGTCACATAAAGTGGGATTTATAGGTATAATCCCTAAATAAAGAGTGATATGAACACCAGACAGGACAGTTTCCTCCAGCTAAAAGTCAAGGAAAAAATGTAGAACTCTTAGCCATTAATGTAAATGTTTCCAGACTCAACGACGCGGACGTGGTTCTATCCCGAGTCCAATATTTAAATTTTAAATTTTAAACTAAAATTTGAATGAAATTTAATATTTACTGAATAATTTACTGATAATCAGAAGGCTAGATATCTAATTGTTTTTGCTAAAATTTCATGCATTTTCTGTTTGTTTTAGAATTTCATTTATGACAAAAAAAAAATTGAATTTATAATTTGAATTATTTAATTTATTATCTAAAAAAAGTAATTTTGTAACTGGATTTAATGTTAGTTATTGATTTCATTATATTTTTATTAAAATTTTATACTGGTCTTCTATCTGCTTCACAGAACTCACTACAGTAAAATGGAGCATCAGGATTGTTGAATTTTTTTCACAGATTTCCGATTAATGCATTTATTATGGTACCACTCATTGCAAATTGTACATTCTATCAAATTGTCTACATCTTCATCATATGGTCGTCTACAGTTACAATAAATTTGAATTCTAAATTTTCCATATTTTGAATTTCTTGTTGATTTTGACTGTGGCGTATTTGGAAACATTGTGAAAGCTCCAGATTCTAAACAGTTTACAAGATGAGAACGCATTTTGTTTTGATCAAATATTATATTTTTAGGATCTTCTCCAAAACAGATTGCTACAGAAAATGCTATTGCAAATAATCCACAGTCTACACCTCCACATTGTTGTTGAACAGGAACATGATTAACAGATATTTGGGAATTTTCTGATTTTAGAATGGTGCATATTTGTTTTTGAACTTCCATTGAAACTTTCTTATCAAGACTGTCATACAAATTTACCTCATCTTTATTACAATTAACGGTAGATACTGTAATCCAATGACCAGCACTTTTATTACCTTCAAACATAATTTGTACCATAGGATCCGTTACATTTTTGAAATTGTCCAGATGCTGAGAAAATATAGTTGGTTGCAAACCTTTCATATTAAATTGTTCTGACATTAAGTTTTGAGCTGCTAATATCACTGTATCATCCAACATTTGTTCTCTTTCAATCATTGATTTTTTTTCTTCTGATAAATTTCCATTATTTTGAGAAAGCTTAACTTTTTTTGGATTAATATTTTCTGATT